ACTTGACAGTTTCAACAGCATGGGACCTTCAGCGCTGGCTCACATTATGTGTGAAACTCTTACAGTTGCACAAGCTTGGACTCAATGAAGCCTTTCTAAAGAGTGATGTCAGTGGAAAGACTCATAGTGGGTTTTTGATCAGGCCCTCAGTGAAATGTGTAGACACGAGCGTATAGTGCTTTCCCCTTTAAATTAAAGAATTTCAGGCTATGTCTATGCTTCAATCACTACAGCTGCTGCGCTGCAGCTGCACTGCTGCTTCAGTATCGCCCTTCACTACAGCAAAGGGAGTGACTCTCCCATCACCGTAGTCAATCCACCTCGCGGAGAGATGGTCGTGAGGTCAAAGGAAGAATTCTTCCATCGGCCTAGCACCGTCTACACTGCGGCTTAGGTCAGCTTAACTACATTGTTCAGAGTGTGGATTTTTCACACCCCTGAGCAATGTGGCTGGTTTGACCTAACTTTTTAGTGTCGACCTGGCTTCACAAAAGGCACTCACACAGAAAATGAAAACTGCAAAATTCGGTCAATTGTATGGAGTCCTTGACTCCATTTTACTGTGTTTCTCTCGATATATTTAATTTTCCAGCTCAACGTCTTTCCTAAAAAACATTCAGGGTTAAAGAGCTAGGTGCATTAAATAATGAAGTCATTATAATGTTCAAAGATTTATTGCAGAGGTGGTCTAACTTTCACATTTTCCTACCACCCAAGATTTTTCTGCAATATACACCTAAGGTTTTTTTTATATTTATATAGTATCTTTCACCCCATGGTGTAGAAAATGTATATGCCAGGATCACTTGTACAGAGAAATGAATCCACCTCTGGAATGGAGCAGCTGTTAGTAGTTTAGGACAGGAAATGAGGAGGAATCTCTCAGCCAATTGGAATGGCAGGGAGAATTCAGGCCCCAGTGCAGCAAAGCATTTAAGCACAAGCTTAACTTGCATCATGTGAACAGCCCCATTGATGAGACCTTTGTTGCCTGGGCATTCTTTATGCTTCCCTTGCTGCCAAAACAGCTTTTTGCAGGCCTTGCTCCCAAAGGCAAGTCCCTACAGTGGGATGATTGGTAGGAAACAATGAGTTGAAAGTCCTGGAGTTACCAGCCATTGCTGTGTATTTCCCTCTGCCCCACAAAGGGACCAACTTAGCCGGTGGTTTATTTACCCAGAGGAGTTTGATTCACGATAGATAGCTGGTTGTAGCTAGGAATTTTATACTCTTTTACGTGTGCTTGAACACAGATATTGGATCCAGGCTGGAGAGAGCTGAAATAGTTTAATGTACCCCTTCTCTCCCAACAATGATAGCTAAATATTTGTATCCTCCACCTAATGAAGATTTCATAGGGCTCAGAATAAGCCCTGTTATAAAAATATATTGGGCCATATTCTCCACCATTAACATCAGCTCAGGATCTGGCCCATATTGTCTCGTGTGGAGAAGCAGAAACATAAAGCAGATGTTGCATCAGCACGTAGAGCCAGGCAGCCTGTCTGTGGCTTGTATTTGGCTGCTGTTGCTGTCCCTTTTTAGAGTGAATGCCCCATGTTGCATTGTTTATGTTGTCCTGAGATCTGCTTGGAGTCACGCTGTATGACTTCTGCCCCCTGGGGTCCTCACAAAGGCATAGTGGGTATCCCACGTGGCTATTTCAGTGAATAAAATAATTTAAATAATTAAATAAGTGCTGTCATCTGTTGTGACAGACACGTGACTGAAGACCCAGCTATTGGCTAGGCTTAGCATGGAAGAGACTGTTCTCATACGAAGTTTGCCTGTTGAATTTTCTTCAGCTAGATTGCCAAGTATTTGAAATCGAACATAGCCATTAACTCAGGCTGGCATTAAGCATGGCAAACAGACCAAGGGTTTTGTACATGTGTCTCTGAATAGCCTCTGACACCAACTTATATGGATGCCCCTGAAGGGGTTGGAACCTGGTACTTTTTGATCTAAAAGCATGAGCTGGTCCTGGTTGAGCTAAAGGACCAGCTCCACTAGCTTGGGGGCAGTAGACAGACTTATAAATGTCTGTATGTGGGCCACCCACTTGAGAAGGCTGAAGAGCAGAGTGAGTTAGCCTGGCTTGCCATTAGTTTACATTTCTTTGGTGGTACATTTTTGGGGAAATAAAATACATTGTATTTACAAAAAGACATTGTTATTTCTGCAGGAATTCCTCAATGCTGGGTCCCTGGAGATAATACATCCTTGAAAATACAGGCTTATATTGTCAAAATGTGTCATCCTTATGCTGTGCACCACCATCTCTGGATTGATGTTGAAATCTCTTTGTTTATTATTTATGTTATGGTAGCTCCTAGAGGCCCAATTGTGCCAGGTGCTGTACAGACATACAGTCCAAAATAGTCCCTGACACAAAGCACTTAAGATAGGAAAAATTAACTATGTCTGTCTGTCTCTCTGGTGCCTAATATTTAATAGGGTTTTGTCTTTATAATTCTGCCTTCTTTTTAAATGCAAATGCTGTATTCCTCTGGGATGATACTCCCTCAGCAAATGTGCCCCAGATGTGCGCCAGACGTCTCCCAATATATCGATAGCAGAACTGTAGTTCTGCTGCATGGCGGATGGGCAGCTGCAGAGTAGGTATAGGGAGAGAGAATAGCCCAGTGCAGAACTAAGGGCAGGCTGGGGAAAAGGGCTCTGGTGTGGGGTTCGGATCTTTGAACACTTGGATCAGTGGCTGCAGTGGTTATGGCCAGGAGTAGCAGTGGCTTCCTAAAAGGGAAGGGGCACCAGCACCTGAACTGTTGCCCTGTCCCCCCCCATGCCACCCTTCCCCTCAAGCCCCTGCCCCTTCTCCCTGAGCCCCTCCCCTGAGGCCCTGCCTTCACACTGCCTCTTCCCCTGAGGCTCTGCTCCCACACCACCTCTTCCCCCCCCACAAGACCCTGCCCCCTGCTTGCTCCTTACCACCCCACCCACCACCCATTGCTTGCCCTTACCGCTGGTAAAAATTGTGAGTGCATAGACCTCCCACTTTTAAAAGTGTGGGGGGGGCGGGGTCATGGCCCCCTGGTTCCCCATGTTCTGGCACCCCTGGTCATGGTCCCTGTCTCTGCCTACAACCTGGCTCAGTAGCTAGAGCAAGCCTGTTTGCAGGTTGCTGGGGAACTCTGTATCTCCTCCTCTATCCCAACAGTGTTCTTGCAGCTGCCTGCACAAAGACCTTTACTCAGGCTTACATGTGTGCAGCTTACATCCCCAGAGCACAGAAGGGGTAATTGATATGTTGCTGAAGCTGGGCCAGAACAGGTGACCAAGAATCCTTCCACTCGCAAAAGGCCTGTTAATAGAAATGTAATGAGAAGAAATACTGCAAGACAATGGAGTTGAAGAATACATCAGAATGTTCATTTAGCCAGAAACAATGACTCAGTAAAGGAAAAGAGAAATCCATCACTGAAGACACCTTTCACTGGCAAGTCAATGCATGTTTTGTATTGGGAACATGGAGCAAGTTAGCATTTTCTGTGGTCTATGAACTTCAAATGGGTCTAGGGAAGCTGGGAATGACAGACAAAAGTGAATGTGTATTTGACAACACAGTAGGAAAACTAACATCTTTCCTTGTTTCTGAAGATGTTACTACACAGAAGAAAGACCTCCCACCCTATTTCTCTATGATTAGTCATGTTGGTATCTAAGCACTAATATGTGCTGGGGTTTCCTGCTCAGGGATTTTCTCTCTAGTGAGATTAGATATAGGCAAAAATTTTCATCTAAAACCTTTTTTGGCAAAAAATGCAGCTTCCATAATGCCAAAATGTTTCACAAATTCATGTTGTGGGAAAGAAGCCACAAACAAATATGCTGAAAAAGTTAAGACATTTATTTTGAAATTTCCTTCAAATTTATTTTAAACAATTAAAAAAAAACAAAATTCTCTAAATCAAAGCAAAACATTTCATTTAACCCAAACCTTTTAATTTTTGAATTTGCTGAAAAATTTGAAAAATTTCGTTTTTGGATAGACCTGAAACTATTTTTTTTAATTGTTCCAAATTGCCAGTGACCTGAAAAAGCCATTATTTGCACAGCTCTAGATGAGACACCTTGTAAAGATGCTGCATATCTCACAGGCTATCAGAGGCCAGACAGCTTTCTAACTTGTTAATGCAGATGACCTTGCATATAATCCAGATCTTGTGACTTAAAGTTTAGGGATAGTCTAAAGTAGTGATACTCAGGCTGTGGCTCACGAGCCACAAGTGGCTCTTAAATGTGTCTTCTGCAACTCTTTGCAGTACATAATACTAAAACACTGTGTGATTTAAATATTAGCCAGGCTAAGTAATTAACCAATCAAGATGATTTTCCTATGTTATTAACCAATTGTAGTTGATAAAATAACATTACTTGGTCAGTCATTTTGCAGTGAGAATAATTATACTAAATATGAATATATAGTGCTGTAGTAAATGAAACAATGAATTTACACTACTGTGGCTCTTCTGGGTAATGTTGATTGCTAATTTGGCTCCTGAAACACTGAGATCTGAGTATCACTGGTCTAAAGGCTCCTTCAATAGTATCCACATTAGGCGGAAATCCTGTTTGTTTCTGTCTTCTCTCCATTCTGCAAATTACCAACAAATGCTGCTTCTCTTTGACCTAAACTCAGTTGGGTTCTGCCTTTGCTTAGGCTGGGAAATTAGTGGCTGCTGCTCTTGAAGGAAATGGAACTGTTGGCCTGGCTTCAGAGAGAGCGAAGGGTGCTCAGTGCTACTCTAGGTCATGCCTGCTGTTGTCCAAGGAGGCAAAGATAGGTGTATATGACAGCTGGTTTTCCAGACAACGCTCAGGAGAAGATTGTGGCCTATCTCTGGAACAGGGTTTCACAAGCCTGTGGGGAGAGGAGGTTGGGGAGCCAGTACACAATCTGCAAGAAGGGTGCTGTAAGCTTCCATCAGTGTAAACACACAAACAGCATCATGGTATGATTCTCTCTTTCATTTAAACAGAGAAAACCAGAACCTGGAAGTGCAGAAGACAAATTCCTCTGGCACAATGAGCTCTGGTAAGTCACTGCTCCTCGCATGCCTGCCTTTAACTACAGAAATCCTCCTGTCCAGTTCTAATGCTGTGACTGTTTTGTATCTTTATCTGTTCTCTCTGAATCGACCATTCCTGTGTGGGATTCCACTGTCGAAGACCACAAGAAGTTTTCATAATAAAAAACAAACCCTGGTTTCAGGTTTGTCATTCCCCCCTGCAGCCTGTATCAGCATCAAGATGACAAGAAAAGGAAGGACCGATCCTGAGCTGGGGTCAGTCAGCTTGCCCCCTTTGACTCTGTGGGAGCTAGGCTGCCTGACCCCAGCTGAGCTTTGAAACTCTCCCCTTTCCATGAGCTTGGGCCCATGTATTGTATTGACCTGAGACCTGGCACAATCCGGCTCTTCCCCTTTGAACTTCATTCATCTCTCAAACTCGGGAGATTTGAACCAGAAAAAGGATCCCACAAAATTCGGTGACCCCAAACTACTGAGTTTCATTTAGTTTTAGCAGTTGGTCTGTTTAGGACAGTGGTGCCCAAATTTTTCCTGTCGCACCACTCCCCATACTGGAATCTGTCCACGCCCCCACCGTCCCCATTACAGCACAGCTGGCGCAGCCCTGGAGCTTGGGCTGAAGGTGGAGCTGGGGGCAGAACGGGATGAGGAGGAGTTGGGGCTAGAAGCAGAGCTTGGCTGGAGGTGGAGAGGGAATATGGGCAGAGCTGGGCTGGGGGCAGAGCAGGACTGGGTGGCTCTCTCCCCGCCGCCGTGGGGGCTGGCCCAGGCCCCACTGTGCACCCTCCCAAGAGTCCTCAACAACCCCCTAAGGGGATGCGCCCCACAGTTAGGGGACCATTGGTTTAGGGTCCCCATTGCCGCTAGCCTAGGACAGCCTTGAGTGTCACTTTAGAAGATACTTCTGAAATAGTACCGGGCACCTGGGCAGACCCTTGATCTCCTGTGGGTTTGTATGAGGGTAACTGATTAGCAAATAGTGACTAGGTGGGTATTTAATTTTTTTTATGGTGGTGTCTAGAGGCCTCTGTCTGGGCTGGAACTCGGTTGTGTTAGGTGCTGTACAAACACACAAACAGTCCCTGCCCCCAGGAGCTCCGTCTCAATGGGCAAGGATGAGAGTGGAAGGGAATTTCTGTCCCTAGATCTGGTGATCAGCTCACACTGGGCATGTGGGTAAGCATGGTATCAACACACTCCACTTGCAGCAGGCTGGCAGACGCCCACCTCATAATACCTGTGTACCTGTGAGTGATTTTTGACCCATGTCATCCTTTTGTTGTCAACGATTAAATTATATCACAGATTTCACGGTTAAGTTTATTGCTGCCACTTGTTAAGCTTAATAAACTACATGTATATCCACAGTGTTTTACTATTCCCTGTCCTGTTCCTTTCTCGCATGTCTCCTGTATTTCTGCTGTAGACAGTGGAAATGCTTTTTTTGAAATCCTGAATATTGTCAGGCCCTGCAATGCGGTCAGTGTGAGCTCACTTATCTTAGGGTGCTCCGGCTTTCCCTTTGTCTTTCAGAACAAGAAGTTGATGTTGTGAAAACAGAAGTTGATGTTGTGAAAACCGTGGTCAATGGGCTGATATCAAGCAGTGATGGACAAGAGCAAGGTGAGTCAAATACATTCAAAAGAATCTCTGCAGCTCCCCCTGCATGTCAGTTGGAGTGGCGCGTCTATTTCCCCGCAGTTGAATCGTTACAGTGTCTTACTGTGCCCGGCTGCAACTACAGCATGAGGGGACCGACCCAGTATTAAATTAACATTCATGTTTTAAGGAAAACTATCTTTGTCAGCAAGGGCCTGATCCCAGACTCATTGAAGAACATGAGCCTTTCCAATAGGCTTTGGAACCTGGCCTTGCATGATTAGATTTTTTTTTTATTAGTGTATTTGTGGTGGGAAGATTTTTACCCTAGGCTTCTGCTCTGGTATTCATGTCCTTTCCTCTCCTTTGATGGCTTTTTATGACAGGCAGTGTATTTATTATAAGTGAATGAATGAGCTGGTTCAGAGTGAAACAGAACAAGAGCTTGGCAGAGTCTATATTTTGCTTTTACAAAACCTTGTTAGTGCGGTTATTCCCCAAACCAAAGGCAGTTTTGGAACAGGGTTGCAGTGTGTCCAAACCTCCCCTTGAAGTCCATTGAGGGGGTGGATAATAGTCTCTGATTTAAACTCACTTCTAATACAAATTAGCTCAGAACCATGCCCCAAAACTGGAAGTCAACCTTTCTTGAGGTTTGAAAGAATTCAGCCAAGTTCTTCCCCACATCATTCCTCTCGGTACCTTTCCATTCTGGGGCAGCCTCTGCATTTTCAGGTTTTATCCAGAACCACAGCCAAAGTGCCACAAGACCACCACAAGAAGAAGCTGTTCTTCTGAGTCTAACATTACAGACCAAAAGCAGTTTTGGATAAAGCTCAGGGAGGCTTCCAACCTTTTGAAATCAATGAGTGTTCTGTATGCAGAGGCCTTACAAGGTCAGATCCTAGAGGTAAAATCCTGGCTACGCTGAAGTCAATAGCAAAACTCCCATTGACTTCACCAGCACCATGATTTCCTCTCAGATGTTTTATCCCAGCTGAACCTCTTGAGTTTCACCCATCACTAACTTTGCCTGTGCCCCATGAGGATACAGTTCAGTACTGCTCATTCAAGGCCACATTAGGAAGAGTAGGGGAGGACGAACCAGATGCTTTGGAGAAGTGAGCAACCTTTAGAAATTTTCAACAAGTGCTAGAATTTTGCACAGTGCTGCATAACAGAGAAAAATACCTCTAAGACAATGTTCAGTGTTTGTTGGTAAAATCCAGTGTTTCTGATAAAATTAGTATGCAGAAAAAAGAAGTTTAAACAGAATCCATCTGATTTGCTGCTTGGCTGAATGGATCTCTCAAGACTGGATACCTTGATGGTACCCTCTGATTCTGGATCCTTTTCGAGACTCCTGGTCACAATTCTCTACTCCCTGCTATTGATGTCATAAAATATATACATCAAAAACATAGGATTTGTGGACAATGACCAGTCAATGTTATTCTCAGAATCTTAATCTGTTTGTTTCCTCACTCAGCATAATTTTAACTCTGCAATTTTAAGATTGTTTATCTTTGCATGTAATATATGTAGCGTCTTGGCTAAAGGTTTATACTAAACTTTAGTTCTGTCATTTGAAAACGAACGTTTGAGATTCTCTTCCCTCACAGTATATTGGCAGCCAGGACTCAGTCAGTTCACTAAGCAGTACTGTACCCTGCACAACAGATACACATCCTGAATTAGGATGAATGAGGGGCTATTTTTAATGATTGCATCACTGCTCTCTGGACTGCTTTTGTATATGAAATTTCCTGCTATTGTCATTCCTGGTTTCCCAAGTACTTTAGAAAGCTTTGTGGCATGTTTCCTTAATTGTGTTCTTCCCTTCTGGATGCACCAACTACACTTTTGTGTTTGCAGCCATTGACGTCCCTTTATGTGCACGCTCTATTTCTGCCGTTAAAATAATCCCCGTGAAGAAAGTGAAAAGTTCTCCTGACCTAATGCTACCTACAGGTATCTTTTTTTCAAAACGCATTAGTAGGCCATCATCCACTCTTTCTGCCTCACCCCCTTGTTAAGATAGTTTTCAGCTTCATCCTTTTTTCACCGTTTTCCAGTGCTATAGATTTCATCAACAGCTAATAGAGTTAAACCATGATGACACAATTCATAGTTCTCAATAATCCAGTTTCTCTGCAGGCATAATTAAGCATATTTGAATTTGGGATCTATGTAAACTCTTCTGCTAATGTTTGGTATGAACATTACTGTTGTAACCTCATTTTAAACCAAACTCCTGAAGAGTCTAAAATATTTCCTGTATGTCTTAGGTCCATAGAGAAGTAAACAGACATCAGAGATTTTATTTTGCAGGTTCAATCTTCGTTCGGCATCTCTATTGCTCTTTCTCTCACTCACACACACACATCCTTCCTCTCTTGCCATGATAAAGTGAAAGCTTCCCCATTAACCCTTTTAGCACTTTGCTGAGTTTGGACAGTGAAACCAGACTAACCAACTCTCCCTGTCATTTCTAGTCATTTTCACTTGCTGGTTCTGACACACTAGCACAATGCTCAGTGTTTGTATTTCCAGTAGAAAGAAAAGGAGTACTAGTGGTATCTTAGAGACTAACCAATTTATTTGAGCATATGCTCAAATATATTGGTTCGTCTCTAAGGTGCCACTAGTACTCCTTTTCTTTTTGCGAATACAGACTAACACGGCTGCTACTCTGAAACCTGTCATTATTTCCAGTAGAGCTGCTTAAAAAATGGGTGGGAAATTCTGAGATCTCAAAATCTGATTTTGTACCATATCAGGGTATAAAGTCAAGTACTGCATTTTTATTTTTGCAAAGTGAAATATTCCAAAAATATTTTGTTGCAGTTGCATCGGTGTGATATTATGTGATCTATAATATAAAAGTCAAAATGTTTGGACTTTTGTATTATAACTTACAGTACATAATATAAAAGTCAAAACAATAAAGCTGAAATGAAATGTTTTGGTTGCATCAAAACACCATTTTCTGATAGAAAATTGTTCCATTGGAAAATTTTCTACTAGCTGCAGTTTCCAGCACTGCAAGGGAAGACTCTTTAAATTGAAAACAAGAGCTAATTTTTAAAAAGTGACACAGCCTCAACTTAGACTGTTTGCTCTTAGGGGCCTTTTTCTTCTGTGTTGGTACAGCGTGTAGCATGGTGGTGTCTTGGCCCACAACCGGTGCTCCTGGGTGCTATGGCAATACAAATAATTAATAATAAATAATAATCTGCAAAAATATGCATCTTTGGATCCTGATTTGGAAGTTTCAAAGCCCAAAGTTTAGGGTTGCTCAGATTTGGGGGTTTTGGCTGAGTTTTGGCTAGTTTTCATGACCCATTTGACAGTATAATTCATAAAACCACATTCACATTCTGGTAGACCTAGTAAAAACTGTTATAGAATCAAAACACTGGGGACTAAGTTGGAGATTTTTAATAACCTAACTCCCAGATTAGGCGTCTAATTGCCACTTGTGCGTTTTGTAAATCGACCCCTACCCCTAGATGATAATGGGTAAGGTCAGGCCTGGCACTACCATTGAGTCAAACATAAGGAAAGATGTTCAGTGATTGAATCAGTGTTGGGCTGGGCATGCATTTTTCAATTTGCATATAATAACAAAAGATACTGGAATGGCTGTTGGAAAAGCACATGAACTCTGGTACCGGGCCGGTGAGCGTCCAAGGTATTGACCTGAGTGTGAAGAACTGTCAGACTCTAGTCCCTGCTACACACTGGAACCATATTTGTAACTGGATTCGAGGACAATACAATGAGGTTGTAACTGAGTTTTAGCTAGGTCACCTGTATCTGCAGTATAGACACCACTGGCTTGGGGAAGGATGGGTCTAGAAGGAGCACCTGGGCACAAACTGCAAGCACATGAGTAGACCATGGACTTCAGTGGGATGACTCAAATGTGGACGGTTAAGCACATGCCTAAGATCTTTGCCTCCAAAGGGCTGGTGTGATCTGAGTGATGGGGAAGGAAGGTGACCTTAGTGGTTGTATTTTGAACTACTTCTTTCTGATTCTATAAGGTGATCTCGTGGGTATGGCACAGTAAGAGGGCAGGGTGTGGGAGGTATGTGCTGCACTGCCTGGGCTTTATCCCTTATTCTGGATAACTATACATCTTCATTCTCCATCAATCCAGCATGGAACTCACTGCTGAGGCCTTGTCTACACACACAAGTTATGCTACTTCGTACCGGCATATTTAAAGTGGTACAACAACCCCAGTGTGGGTGAAATTATTGTGATATAAAATTTATACTGATACAAAATCTGAGTGTAGACCAGGCCTAGTAAAGCAAACAAACCTGTGAAATTTATTCCAAAGAGCCAGCAGGTCTTGCCACTTTCCTAGCTGAGTTACACTGACTCAGACCTTTATTTGTGTGTTCATCAGTTATCTTACTTATTTTTTAAATATATAACTGCTGTTATTACTTAATGTTTTAAAATCAAAGCTAATGTTCATCTGCATAAAAATTAGAACAATTCACTCAGGACAGCCATGTTAGAATTACTCCAGAGCCACCAGCATACTGCCATAGAACTATGATGGCTTCCAGTAGCTCCAAAACATCTCCTTTGTGTGTGTTTTCTTTAGACAAGGATCCCACTAAAGTCTGCACTGGAAAAGGGACCGTGACCCTACGGGCATCTCCAGCCTCTGAGGAAAGGCCAAGTATCAGTCCCCCATGTTCTCAGGATGTCCAGCAGTCAGAAAGTAAGTCTAGTATGTAAAAGGTTAAACATAAGCAGGGCCGTCCTTACCCATATGCAAAACACGCAGCAGCGTAGGGCACCGGTGCCCTGCACAGCTGCGCACAGCTCCAGCCCCTGCTCCGGCTCTTCCCCAGGCCCCCACCCCTGCTCCACCCCAGCCCTGCCTCTTCCCACCCCTGCCCCGCCCCTTCCCTGCCCAGCCCCGCCCCTGCTCCACCCCAGCCCCACTCCCCTGAGCTCTGTAGCTGGGCTGGGCCTGCACTCACCAGCAGTGGGAGTGCAGCAACCCATCCTCAGCTGCGCTGCCAGTGAGTGCTGGGGGGTGGTACCCCCTGCCCCCCAAGCCAGCCACCCCCACGAGGAGGCCTGGGGCCAGCCTCCCTGCTTCCCCCCCCCCAGCAGAGGCCTGCCCCCCCCCCCAACACACACATGCACGGGGTGGAGAGGGGGTTGCGTAGGGCCCCAGAATTGCTAGGGATGGCCCTGAACATAAGATACAACAATTGTAACTGACCCCACATGGCGCTTGAGTCCAGGCTTTCAGTGCTAAAAGCATGAGCCCCTCCCACTGGCGCTAAAGACCTGAGCAAAAGCAGACTCCTAAATCTCTTATATGGGGCAAGCTGCTCGAGGAAGACAAAGCCCCAGAACCTCTGAGTGTGAGTTTCACAACCACTTATACACCACTTGGAGAAAAAGCATATTTGTTGCTTTGTGTTGCTGGCAGGAGTGCGCAAAAAATCATCCTGTTTTCCCAGGTAGGCCTTTGTGTTCCTTCTTTTATCCCGGGCCACTGCGGGGGATGGGAAGTGTCCTGGTGCAGTCGCTGCAGCAATGGCATTCATTTTTTTGCTGTAGTCAAGGCCCCTGGGATGGTGTCCCAAGTTGACAGTGTCGCCATAGACTTCTGCTGTCTTTAAATAGCAGATGTGTAATTACTTAATTACAGGAGACAAGTAAAGCATCACTAACCCTGCCTGCACCTTGGATTTTGCATATAGAATGAACTCCTAAAGGGAAGATGCTATTAAAAGTTAGGGTTGTTCAGCTTCTCCCCTGAAAGTGAAGCACATGTAATTACAGGACCTGTTGTTAGGAAAGGGTGATTCTATTCTTTCCAGCCCTAATGCCCTGCTTTCTACCTCCCCCTTCTCCTCCCCTCCTGATCCAACCATGACCTCTCCTTCTTTCATTCTCTCCATTCTCTGCTTTCTCACCCCCGCCCCCTTTGCCTACCCTTCCTGCTGGTGGCTTCATAAATTTCCAGCAGCGTGAATGGCAATGAGCCCATTACTATGGAAATGAGCTCATTAATACTTCTTTAGCTGACTCCCTCAATCACTTTATGAAATGCATGTTGGAGCTGGAAGAGCTCTTTGCACAGTACGTGAGCGGCCAAAACGGCTAATGTGGAAAGAGGGGGAGGAACTCAGTGGGCGAAGGGAAGATAGCCTCGGTGCCACTAGCCACAGGGACTGGGCTGTAAAATGGGATAATGTGTTGTACCCCCACCCGTACTCGCAAAATAGACATCTTATTTGTCAATGGGTCTCTGCAGCAGGTATTCTCATGCGGCAGTATTAGAAAGGATAGCTATGGTTATCCAGCCGACATCATGGCTTAACACTGAGACCCTGCATTTTTAGCTGTGTGTGGGGCATTTGGACTCCAAACTGCAGCACGAGAGCAGATAGCTCAGCTGAATGTCAATGACCAATTGTTTCTTCATTGCTCTGAATGAATCGCCTTGTGTTTACAAAGGTCAGAAACTGTGAGGGCATCATGTTTAGGACCAGTTTCTATGGCAATTTGGCATCCCTGTCAGAAAGCATTGTGTGTGTGTATTGAAGTAGCCTGAATGTTGAGTTCAGTGGGTACATGTTTGCTGTAAATGTAACAGTTTATTTTTTTCCCTTATTTTTCCATTCTTCCTTCCCTCCTCTCTGCAGCACACATAGCTCTGGAGACAGGAAAACCAGAAACAGGTACACATGCTTGTTGCTTTGTTTTGTTGTTTCCCCAATGTATTTCTTGTTGCCCAGCAAAAAGCAACAGGTCCCCTCTCCTTGTTCCCCATCTAGCTAGAGTGAATTCCCTCAGACCTGAAGTTCTCCTTCCCCTTTTAGATGATTGGAGGTTATCCTCTAATGGAGATATCCAGCCATCTTCTCTGGCTGCCAAGGGCTATAGAAGTGTGCGTCCCAACCTCTCCTCAGAGGGCAAACCACAGGTAAGCATCTTTCCAGAAGATCTGAGGCTTTTCTTGAGGGGTCAAGCACAGGATTCAGAGTCAGGAGACCTGTGTTCAATTCGCAGGCTTGGGTAAGTCTCTGTGCCTTCATTTTTCCTATGTGCAAAATGTAGAGAATGCGTCTTTCCCAGGAGTGCTGTGAATTCTTTAATTCATTAATATGTGTTAAAGCATGCTGAGCTCCTTGGTGGCTATAGCAGGGCAAAGTACCATTCAGCATTGTTTGTGTGGGAAAGCTCAGCCAAGAGGTAGTGATCAATTATTGTATGTCTTCCTGTATGCACTCTGACCTTCCAACTGCAGGTGGCTGAATGGAGAATTAAACTTCCTAAACCCACAGAGTGGCCTTAAAAAATGTCTGGAGAAGGCCTTGTCACTTTAACACTAGAAATGATATAATCTTTTGTCAGCCCATATTGGAAAGAAAAGGAGTACTTGTGGCACCTTAGAGACTAACCAATTTATTTGAGCATAAGCTTTCGTGAGCTACAGCTCACTTCATCGGATGCATACTGTGGAAACTGCAGAAGACATTATATACACAGAGACCATGAAACAGAGGGTGAGAAAACCTGGATTTGTGCTGGAAATGGCCCAACTTGATTATCATACACATTGTAAGGACAGTGATCACTTTAGATAAGCTTCAGAGGAACAGCCGTGTTAGTCTGTATTCGCAAAAAGAAAAGGAGTACTTGTGGCACCTTAGAGACTAACCAATTTATTTGAGCATGAGCTTTCGTGAGCTACATCTGATGAAGTGAGCTGTAGCTCACGAAAGCTCATGCTCAAATAAATTGGTTAGTCTCTAAGGTGCCACAAGTACTCCTTTTCTTTTTAGATAAGCTATTACCAGCAGGAGAGTGGGGTGGGAGGAGGTATTGTTTCATGGTCTCTGTGTATATAATGTCTTCTGCAGTTTCCACAGTATGCATCCGATGAAGTGAGCTGTAGCTCACAAAAGCTTATGCTCAGATAAATTGGTTAGTCTCTAAGGTGCCACAAGTACTCCTTTTCTTTTTGCGAATACAGACTAACACGGCTGTTACTCTGAAACCTGTCATATTAGAAAGGTTATTTTCCTCCCAAATCTAATCTGAAGTGTTGGGATTGGTCTGCCAAGCAAAGAGAAATGCTAACCTATGGATGGGTTACCAGTGTGCATGGATGCAATTTTCAGGTTGAATTCAATGGGATGGGAAAACCTGAGCAACCCTTCTTTATAAACTGCCTTCTTGAAGAATGGCATCTGTTACTGCTCTGTTAGATGTGAAATGGAGGCCCATTAAAATCTTATCCCTAGTACAGGGCAATTGCTTTAATCGTGGCAAGCTCTTGGCAAAGCCACGGATCAGACACTGCGCCTGAAATGTTAAGTGAAAGATGAAGAGGGCACCAGTCGGCCGAGGACATAAGAAGTAATGAAGCACTAAAAGAGTGAGCTGCTTCCTGCATGAGACATGTAGCTGTTTCGCAGTTAGTTATTGGGCATACAAGTGAACAGAGATAGCTCAGTTTTAGTTTCACAGAGTGCTGTTTTTAGAAGAGTCCTGAGGGCACTTAAACTAATGTCAAATAAAACAGGGCTAAATTCTGCTCTCAGCCACATGGATGTAAATGTGGAGTACCATGGTCACTGTTAACAAGCAACTTGCCACTCTGTAGCATCTGGAATGCGGCAGTATTTTTCCAGTCGCCCAGCTGTATCTGCGGTATCCCGGTGTGATAACCAGGGTGGCTGCTGGCTGGCTCTCCATGGCAACTCCTGATTTATTCAGTGAGCTGTAAACCAAGGATAAAAAAGGGCCTATCCAAAGCTCAGGGAGCCCCTGCCAGAAATTACAAAAACAATAAAATTAAACCACCCCCAGAAGACCGCATTCCCCTCCCTGACCATCTCCACAGCAGCCAGCGTAAATACATGCGCCTTACATCATGCCCAGACAGTCAGCAGACTCGAGCTATTTTGGACCAGTGGGGAAGCCCATGCTAGAGCCAAGGGCCACTCACTGGGAGTGCTGTACTGCCTTCCTCCCCACCCCAGCTCAAGTGTCTCTGTTTAGCATAACATTGATAGGATGGCTACTGCAACTCTGAAATCTGAGGGGTTACTCTGGATTTTATACCAGTACAAGCGAGAATAGGAGCTGCCCCAAAGCTGCCTAGGGTGATGAATTTTAAAGGAGAACATTGATCAAGGCAATAAAGTTCTGAGCTGTTAAAGCCTTCAAAGAAGACTAGAGGCAATCCCTATCCTGTAGGCTGGCATTCTAGTCGTTTTCCTTCTAATGGATGGTGATTTACAGTTACCTGCAGCTGTAAATAAATACAGTGAAACGTCCATGTAGTAAAGCCACTTCTTTTGCTACAGAATAATTTGGCTCTAAGCAAAGATTTGCTCTAACTGGAATTGCAATCTCCACGCTGCTCTAGAGTTGCAATCTGTACGTTGCGACGCACTGAAACAATGAAGGAGTTTCTTTTTGCTTCTCTAGGAAAATGATTTCGCTATCAGAAGGCTTCACTCTAAAGACAAGTTTCTGGGAACCCAATTCCACTGTAGATCTAAATTGTTCTGTTTTTCTGAGGGTGCTTTGTGAATGAGGGATCTTTTTAGAAGGGAAGTGGGGTGTCAGCCTTTGGCAAAAGTAAATGAGACTTTTTTTTATTTGACCTCTCTGTATAGTGGAACAACCACAGTATAGTAGGTCACTGCGATATGGTTTCGCATTAGCAGAGGCACCAAATCAGATTTCAGCAATTTGCTTAGTGTGCTGTAGAGAAGGGCCTGAGCTGTAGAATTCATATTTCCTGCTGGATCCGAATGTGCCCGAAGCTGAGGAGTGCTTGAGCCAGGGGTCATGGAACACAGAGTCTGGTTCTGATGGTCAGATCTGCATTTCAAAGTTCCTGGGGAATGTTAGGAGCTTGGGTACCCAGGCTGATCCCTGCGGTACCCAGAGTAAGGTTAGCCCTGAAAGCAAAGTGAGATGCTCTTCATAGGTTTGAACTTGAAAGCTGGAAAACCTTTTCATACCCCAACGAGCAGCATTGAGAGCGAGCAAGTTGAGTGCCGGGCTTGACGATTCCATGTTAGCTTGTTAACTTGTGGTTAGCTTGTGGCTAAACAACAAAGTATAAGAAGCAGTGAGAGGCAAAAGGGCATTGTTTAAAAAGTGGATAAATGCAAAATAATGCACATTGGAAAACATAATTGCAACTATACATATAAAATGATAGGGTCTAAATTCGCTATTGCCACTCAAGAAAGTTTTGGAGTCATTGTGGATAGTTCTCTGAAAACATCCATTCAGTGTGCAGCGGCAGTCAAAAAAATAAACAGAATGTTGGGAATCGTTAAGAAAGGGATAGATAATAAGACAGAAAATATCATATTGCCTCTATATAAATCCATGATATGCCCATATCTTGAATACTGGCTGCAGATGTCGTCACCCATCTCAAAAAAGATATATTGGAATTGGCAAATGTTCAGAAAAGGGCAACAAAAATGATTAGGGGTATGGAATGGCTGCCATATGAGGAGAGATTAATAAGACTGGGACTTTTCAGCTTGGAAAAGAGACGATTAAGGGGGGATATGATGGAGGTATATAAAATCATGACTGGTGTGGAGAAAGTAAATAAGGAAGTGTTATTTAGTCCTTCTCATAACACAAGAACTAGGGGTCACCAAATGAAATTAAGAGAAAGTAGATTTAAAACAAACAAAAGAAGTATTTTTTCACACAACGCGCAGTCAACCTGTGGAACTCCTTGCCAGAGGATGGTGTGAAGGCCAAGACTATAACAGGGTTCAAAAAAGAACTAGATAAGTTCATGGAGGATAGGTCCATCAATGGCTATTAGCCAGGATGGATAGGGATGGTGTCCCTAGCCTCAGTTTGCCAGAAACTGGGAATGAACAACAGGGGATGGTTTACTTGATGATTACCTGTTCTATTCATTCCTTCTGGGGCACCTGGCATTGGCCACTGTCGAAAGACAGGATACTGGGCTAGATTGACCTTTGGTCTGACCCAGGATGGCCTTCTTATGTTGTTCTCATTGAATTCAATCCTGTTAACCCAAGTCTAATGACCGACTTCATTCTTTCAATTTTTTTTCTTTTTCCCTTCATTTGGTGCTGATTCCTCCTCCTTCCCTTGAATCTGATTGGACAGGCCCTTTCCCCTCCCCGTCCTCCTCTTCCAAAAGAGGAGAGCTTTGCATGGCACCCTCGCACTGACATGAAAGTAACCAACCTGCTGCCAGTGCCCATAATGGACTGTGTGTACCTGAATGCACCCAAGCCTTATACACAGCATGTGTCACCAAGTTGCAGCAGGCAGTGTTATTCCTCATCACCTGCACCCTTTGCAACAGTCCCCAGTGAGAAGCCATGCTTTTCCGCAGGGCATCCCCAATCAGCCAATTTGATTCCCAAGGACGTGGTGCATGCTGGGCAGTCACTTTCGGGAAGTAGCTCCTTGTTATCAGACTCTTCATCCAAACATCAAAACCCTGCCAGGGCAGATCCTAGTAGTGAAGCTGGAATGAATTCCACGTATGGGACTAAAGCAGATAAAAAGGTCAGCAGTCTATATGTGGCTTGTTTATCTAACAGCACTTGCTCAGCTGCATCTGAAAATTCCACCAGCATTGCACATGACCAAACAGAGAGCCCCCGTTTGGGAACTGAGGTCACTCAAGCACCAGCCACCAACATTGTTTCCTCTGTAACAGATGCTGGAAAATCTCTTCCTCCCCCTCCTCCTGTCCCTCCCAGGCCATACTTTAACATTGTCCTCAGTAAAGACGCAGTTAGCTATGGTAGAAGCCATTCCTCCAGGACTCAGTCTCCACCTCCTCAGGCTGTGAGGGACAAAGTACTAGAGCCCCAGAGTACGGCTGGCAGTGGGGACAGGATGAGAAAGGAACCTTACCTTACGCAGCAGCAGCATCTGTACAAGGTGAAAGGACGCAGCATGGTACATGTTTTCTTCATAACTTTGTTTTCTTTCAGTCGTGCGAACGGTTCTCTAATTCGTACAGTGTCCCCTCTGTATTCACCTCTTCTTAATTTCTGCACGCAGGTCACTCTTGTGTAGTTTGATTCTTGTCATCTGCTATTCGATAACCTCTCACTTTCCCCCCAAAGTCTGAAGAGTATGTTTGTGTGATGTGTGCGTGTTTGCAGGCTAAAATCAATTGGTGAGGGGGTCAGCAATGGGAAATATTCCTGTTTAGGTAGGTGTACCTGTAGCAAGTGCTGCAATGCAGATGAACTGCTTGTGGTTCAATCGAGAATTAAAGGACAGGGGGAAAAAACTGGCATGCCTTATCCAGTGTGTTCACGGAGCCTTTGGCTGCTAAACAGAACATCTCTAAGGGCATAGCTCGCTCTGAGGAAGGAATGTCCAGTGGCTTGGATACATGCCAGCCTGTCACTACCCTTGCAGTGCTGGGATGTGCACCCACGAAAGATGGATTGCCCCTTTGCGTAACCCCACCTTATTTCCCACAGGATGTCATTTCTACCACCACAGCTCAGCCTGAGATTATAGTAGTCCCACTCCTCCAGGTTAACACAGACAGAGAGCAAGAAGGCAGCTCCAGCACTCCGCCACCGCCTTTGGTACCTTTGGGGCAAGGTGCCACGTTCCCTGAGACCGTTCCTACTGGCTCACCTCTGACTTTTCCGACACTAGACGATTTCATTCCCCCTCACCTCCAGAGGGGTCCCCACCATCACTATCTGCCCTCCTCACCTGGCATCTCGCCCCCAATTTGCCAGAAACTACCATCATTCTCACCGCCACCTCCACTGGTGCCTCCCGTCCCGGAGGCTTTGCACAGAGTCTTGGAGCCTGAAATCACTGGAGTCCTCTCACGTACAGTAAGCTTGTTGAGTACCCTCCTCACAGCTTTCCTGAATTTGTTTCTAGGTTAAAATAACTTTCTCATTGGCATACTAAGCTTTGAAAGAGGAGCACTGACTAGCACCTTGCCAGCAGCATGACCCCTGAAACCTTGTTTACGTCCTGTTACGGTGCATGTATGTCATCTACCTTATCTGGCTTGGGAACTTTGCAATTGTTTGGTTTTTCCCCAATATTTTACAGTCTCTCTCCCCCACCTCTGTCTCTGCTGGATAATCTACACCTTTGGCTTTAACCATCTTAGGGGAATGTACTATGTATGATACTTGCACTTCTCATCTGAAAGAATAACACCTGCTGCTTGAGCTTTGGCTAGCTGATGGTCTCTCGACAACAGTAATATCAGAAGCAGCAAAAGCAATGCAGTTAAGGACGGCACACTCTGTCCTGCATGGTGATAAAGGGCCACGTTCTATGTGTGTATTCCCACTGAAGGCAATGTGAGGTTAATGCCAAAACAGAATGACCCACAAGCTGTAACTTCACTTGCTAATCTGAGACCCTTGCAAGTTTCTAAGCACCATGTGTCCCCTTGTTTGAAATATCCTTGCTCCTGCTGAAGTCTTTACGTTCTTCAGAATTCTCACATTTTGACAGGACATCACCCTGGTTTTTCTGTGTTTATTTTCTCTTTTTAAACCCACTTCCTTTTTTACAAGGGGGCAAATGTAACCACAAGAATAGCTGTAAAGGTTTGGATGCTCATCTGAACCTCTTTGTAACAGAAAGTTTACCACCAGTAGCCCTATTACAGGATTTCCAGTAACTCCTGAGTGAGAAATCCAGCAAGAATAACTTCTCTGATGATGATTTTTTGGCTGGGCCTGGAAGAAGTAGCAGAGAGGCATGTGAAAATGGAAAGAAACAAGAGTGGCATTTTCAGAAGTGCTCAGCATTGGCCTAACTCTGCTTCTATAGTCAGTTGGATTTTTACAATTGGGGAGAACTTTAACAAGCACCAAAGTGACTTAGGAACCTAATCCCATTTAAAGTCAATGGGATTTAGCTTTCCAAATCACAAGGGTGCTTCAGAAACTGTGACCCTCTTCCACTCTAATGGGAGCAAAGTGTCGCCAACTTTGTGTGATTTTGAGGACGCCACCCTCAGTTTCCCAAACATTTTCTTTTAAATGACAAATTTAGGTTTGGTTTATATTTTTGGCTGTGGAGATGCTCCACTGTGATTGAAGTAGCTCACTACACTGTGGTCTTCTGGCTCTGCCCACCAAGCCTTCCCTTCCCACACACCCCATCTGCCTTCTGTGCATTGTATCAAGGAGGCTCCCCAGCATGCAGCAGATGCATGCTCTCTATATGGAGCATTCAGATCTGCCTCCCCACTCCTGTGCTCAGCAGGACTGCCTTGCTTCCACCGCTGAGGGTACCTCCATAGATGGGGGCTAGATCTGCCCCTCAGAGAGCTTTGGAAACTCCTGGTTTTGAGGCTGCTGAACAGTCACCTCTTCTTATGTTCTCATAAAATGACTCAGGCCTAATTAGACACTTGATGGTGTAAGAGTGTCAAGAGAGCTGAATAGTTCAGCCCTGCTGCCTCTCTGATTGAGTGAGGCTGATTGTAGCTGGTGGTTCTGCTAATAACATACCCTAACCAGAAATGGTCTATGGCACCAGGCCTCACTTTGGAGCGTGTTACTTCCTGATCCTACAGACACTTCCTGCTGACATTTCCAACCACTGAGCTCAGTGGGACTGCTCACAGCCAGAAGTGCTGCGCTCAGTTGTGCATGCAGGATCAGGCCCCGCAGAACAGTAACAAAGCCGGCAGCAATGGAGCAAGACTCTCTGGTCCCCTTTTTAAAAGAATGACTAGCCCTGTGGGCCAGCTCCGTTTCACAGACCAATGGCTTGCAGCATTTCACTCTGACCACAGAGTCAGAGCAGCACAGAAATCCAGAACTCCACACTCTTGCTTTTTGGATGCCCATTTTCCGTTAATTTCTGTGGGAATTGAGGGTCCAAATCCTTCTGACACCTTTGAAAAAGCTCTGCCTTAATGACAAAATCAGCACATAAAAATACATGTATCGTTTTTGGCCAACGGCCCCATCTCCCTAGCCTCCCCAGCAATGAGTGCTTCTGTGAACCTGATCTGAAAGGGTCATGTCTGAGCTAGCCTTTAACATCTCCATGCAGACCCAGTCTTTGCTCCAGCAGCACAGATGGTGCATCTGTGATGCTAGGATTGATTTAAAATAAATAATAGAGCAACTTGCCTTAGGCAATCCTCATTGCTCCCTGAAGCTGTGTTGTGTATCTTCCACGCTAGTGCCCTATTGGTTACTCTACACCTGTTTTTTTTTCATAGTTCTGGGTGCCCAGTCGTCACACTGTCTAATGTCTCCTAAGTGATGGTGCTAAACTTATTTTTCTGATCTTCCTTGCAAAGCCAGCTGCAGTAATCGGGTTTCACTCAGAATCGCATGAGTTTTGCATGTCTGACTACTTGCTGGGAAAGGAATTCTCTTTAAAGAAAGAGTGGGTGAGTGGGTGGGTCTCTCTCTCCCACAACCAGATTAGCTCATTCCTGCTGCCAAGTGTATGCTGTATATAGCATGATGGTTGAAGTCAAGGACACTTCTTCTGGTGTGGAGGGAGAAACCCAGTACAAAAAAACTATAGTTATTCCTTATTCTACTAACTGCAGTTAACAGGGAATGGAATGCCTGCAGGGTCAGGGTAACAACCTGTGCTTATGCCTTCTACTAAAATGTGCTACGATACCTTTCTTATTCCATATTAAAATAACTTTTTCCAGAAACACCAGCGGGCTAGTGATGCTCACATGCATCTTCTTCTCTTTTCCAGGACCCATGTCCTGTGCTAAATGAAGTCTCCCCGCCTCGCACTGGCACCAAATACCAATCCTCCTTAACATCGATCAGCAAGCCTTCCTCCACCTATCCCTCAACCACAATTGTTAACCCTACTATCGTCCTCTTGCAGCACAACAGAGGTAAGGAGACATGCAGGTGTATCTCCACTTGTGGCTCAGGTTCATTCAAGTGGAGCAAGCTATTGAAACTCATTGTAATGAGCTGGCAAGCGTGTGTGTGTACAGCTGTCTTCAATCAGAACTGTTGGAGTAGATGTCTTAGGCTCTATACTGTAAGTGGTGACAGAGCCTGGACTTTTGAAGTAGAAGTGTCCGAGTGTTCTCCCTGCTGCAGTCACTGTGAAGGTGTGAGTGGCTGAGGCATGCTGTGCACTGATAGCTGAGACATGCTACATGGCCACAGATGTGGTACAACATATAATTAGTTTCAGAGTAACAGCCGTGTTAGTCTGTATTCGCAAAAAGAAAAGGAGTACTTGTGGCACCTTAGAGACTAACCAATTTATTTGAGCATGAGCTTTCGTGAGCTCAGCTGTAGCTCACGAAAGCTCATGCTCAAATAAATTGGTTAGTTTCTAAGGTGCCACAAGTACTCCTTTTCTTTTTGCATATAATTAGTGAGAGACCCAAACAAAAGCCTTGGACCCGAGAGTTTTGGGGAAGTTTGGTATTGATCTTTGCAATTGATCCCAATCTCTGTAATGGGACAAATCGAAACCCCAAATCACATCATTCTACAGCCGCCCTGGCTCAAAACCATCTATAATTACAATTCAAACCCTTTCCCTCCTTTACAATAGCTCCCTCTGCAGGGTAGGTTCCATATCCTATGAGAGAAACGTTGCTCCTACTCCACTTTCCGTGTAGGTAATGTTATCCCAGCCCCAGTCAGGATCTGTATTGCCTAGGGGAGTTAGGTATTGATTTCCAGTGAGATTTGGGCACCTAACTCACTTACACTGCTTTGAAAACCCCAGCCTAGGATGTTACCATTTTCCTTTTATCAGGGAAATCAAATATCACCCATTAGAAGCAAGGTCCATTTCTCTCCTGCTTTTTATCATCCTTATGGAAAGTGCTCCCAGATGTGTTCCTCCGCAGTCCTGAAATGCTGTATTCGATTCTTTTCTAAAGCTGACTTCAGTCTTTGACCCCAGAGCTACTGATCGAAGTTTATCTGCTAGGTAATATAGCACAATGAAATAAACCCATCACTAGCTATTGGAGTGATACTCCCTGCTCCAGCTGGAGTCCCTGTTAGTAGCCATTAACAGGAGCCTTCTCCCTTTATGGAAAGCAGTGCCCTTAACTTAGCCTCTGTGGGATGTGACATGATTACCTTGACTGTACAGACTGGAAGGCTGTGAAGCCCAGCTCAGCTCTTGGATGGAGTTAAATGCTGTGCATGGCACATTGATGTTTCCTCTGGGCAGAGGAAGATGCAGGCCCTCTTTCCTTCTGCCAGTGCTCTGAGAGCAGCCTGGCTCCATGCGAGCTTTGGATAGCTGTAGGTGCAGCTTGATTAAAGGCCTTTCAGCTGTTCCGTCTTGGTGTGCTCAAGCTTGTTGTGTCACACACAGTTCTCCCCTTGACAGAGAAGAGCCAAACCCTTTGGTTGATTTTAAATCTGTACTGAGCCTTTTCTCACTCAGGACAATTCAGGTGTCTTTGTCACACAAGGAAATGCCTCTTCCATTCTTCCCTGAAGCCACCATCATCTACTCAGCGGTTCTCTGGGCAGCCTGCAAGCTCCTCAGACTTTGCTGAGGGTCCCACACCGTGACCAAGCATGGAAGCACCAATGATTTAGTATGTGTCTGGGTCTCTGGTCTATCTCCAGTAGTGCAGAGAACTAAACAACACATTCCTCTTCTTCCTCCTGATTTCTCTACCTCAGCTCAATACACAGGCCTCCTCTCTGCTTAATAGTGAGGAGAGCTAGTAGGGAGGAAACCTCCTCTTCACCTAGGAGCTCCCTTTTCTCCAGTTAAAGTCCATTCACCCCATGTACATTCCTCATTTCTCCCCACCCCCCAGAGATGGAAACATTTCTCAAACACAACCTCCTTAAACCATCTATGGGGTGTTATGCCAGAAGATCTTCCTGATTATCAAAGGTGTAGCAAGGAGGCATGGCCTCCCTCTGAGACTGACAGGGAGGGACTGCAACCCGCCCCCTGGTGGGAAGAGTCAGGAAGGCCAGGCCCAGCCTGCTGAAAACCAAGGGGCTGAACAGGAACAGGAAGTAGAAAAGGCAGGCCTGGCAGCTCATTTAGGAGATAGATGCATCACGTGTGCTACTGTAACCTAAAGAGGATTCTGATTGTACTGCGGACTTGTCATAGCCGCCAGCTGATCGAGACACCAAGGAGCTGGCCACCTACCCCGGGGAGACAGGACAGACACAGAACGGAGGTACCAAACAAAGGGGACATAGGAAGTAGCCCAGGAAAACTAAAGTACAGTCTGATTGTTTCTTAGCCCGATTCTAGGCCCGCATGTTTCGTGTCTTCCTACCCCCTGCCACCCCACCCTGAGGTGGCAGCCTCCCCACTCAAGGCCAAGGGGCCCATGTTTGTCGGCCATCCACCAGAGCCAGGATACCTGACTGTTTGGTGCCCCGCCCTGCCTGAGCACCTGGGTTCATAGGCTCCTTTGCTGCTCTGCCTTGACCACAGATCAGAGCCCTCTACTCTGTTTGATGCCCTGCCCTGCCTAAGGGCCTAGGCTCCTAGACTCTGTAGTGCTCTGCCCTGCCTGAGGGCCAGAGCCCCCCTTTTCTGTTTAGTGTTCCACCCTGCTGGAGGGCTTGAATCCCGGAGCCTGATTACTGCTCGGCCCTGCTTAGAGGATCCAAGCTTCACAGACTGCTAATTTCCCCCTTTGATTGCCGTTCTAAGGGCGTGACAGCAAGGAGACGTGGCCTCCCTTCTGTGACTGACAGGAAGGGACAGCTCCACACACCTACAAAAGGAAAGGTCATCTCCTCAATAGAGGACCTCCCTATTTGATGGCTGGCTCTAAGATCCCCGTTACCCAACTCTACCTCCTTGATTATAACACATGGATGAATCTACCCTTCTGCTCTTGATGCCCTATTCAGAAGAGGGAACTTTGCAGCAGATGGGTTCCCATTCCCTTCTTGAGGGCAGGCACATTGTTGTCTTAAGCACTTCTCTTTTCCATTTGCGTTTCCTGGTTATTTCTGGGTATTGGTGACATTCACAACAACACACCTGGGCAGCTTTCCATTGGGGTGGGTGGGAATGTGTTGGGCTAGGAGGCAGGGCTTGCAGAGTTTTCTCATGATTGCCAGAGGACACCAGTGATCCCTGCAGAGGGAGCTGAATTTGAGTGAGCGAAACAAGGAATTCTTCTATGGTGAGTAGCCCCACCTTGCATGTCATGCCTGGAGAAGTCTGATTATCTGAGCAAGCAGTGTGTCCAGCGGATTACTGCATCCTGCAGATTTGCTTGGAGGGTGAACCATGCTCCCAAAGCAATCATTTCCCTGACAGGCATTGCAGGAAGTGGCTTATTGCTAATAGGTAATGGTCATACTATGCCCTTCTCATATTGCCATGACTAAGATATTGACATTCCATTGGAGAGTGCCATTCGTCTCCAAGTTCTAAAGCAATTTCATAATCAGAAATAAGTGAGAAATATTTTTTTGAACTTCTGAAATTCTTGTATTCGCCACATCAACTTTCAAAATTATCAGTGTTTGATATTGTTAGTAAGATGATAGAATTTGAAATGTCCTGTATACTTCATATAAACTGTGCTCCTTGTTAGGGAGAAAGTGTTCTCTTGTCGTTAGAGCAGGGGCTTGGGAGCCAGGACTCTCTGGTTTCTATTGCCTTTTCTGTCCCAGACTCGTTATGGGACTTTGTTTGACAGCCTCCACTGACTTTGAATGTCTCAGTTGTTGGGTGGCCAACATGAGATATCTCGAGTGTCTCAGGTTGAGAACCTAGGAAAGGAGGCTCCTAAAAAGAGTGGTCCTTGTGAAATTCTTGGCCTTTACCAGCCTGTACCTCAGTTTATCCATATGTAAATTAAGAATAATCATTCAGTCCACAACTCATAAGGATATTGTGGGTCTTAATGATCACAAAGCATTTGGCATTCCTTGCCACAAAGGCCCTACATATGCAGAAAAATGGCTGTGTTATTACTTAATAGTAATATTATTAACATGCTGCTAACTTGAGTATTATTTGTTGGTTTATTTGACAGTAAGTCTTCACAATTGTTTTTAAACTGTTTTCTGTTAAGCTGTTTTCCTTCTCTCTGACATAACTATACTTTGTTGTTGCAAATGTACGGGTCACTTTGTATTGTGATGCTGAATAGTCACCAGTGCTGCTCTTTGGAGGGCGGCGGGTTTGTCACTTTGGCAGGGTGTTGAAAACTTGATCCACTCCAGCAGTTTCTGCCATTGTGCAGACGGCACATTTCTTGCCTGTCAGAAACACAGCAACAGGACGCTTACTGTCTATGTCTCACCCTCTTGTTTTTGTTTTTGTTTTCGTTTTCCTTCTCTACCACAGAACAGCAAAAGCGGCTTAGTAGCCTGGCAGGTATGAAGCAAAAGGTCCTCACCCCACAGCTGCTGCCTCTGCTGGAGTCAAGTGGCTGCTTTGCTAGCTTGCAGAGTGCCTTTAGCAAACACACTTCTCAGTAACTGCAAGGAAGCGAGCTGAATCCCTAAAAATAAATGAGTGTTGCAGCTCAGCCACCACAGCTGAGCTTTTTGTATTAGTTTTTTCTGAAAGTGTTGGAAATATGCATAGTTGCAGACAGGCACACATTAATGTGGCCAACCCCAGCTGTCCAAAAAGCATGAGATTAAAAAAAAAATGTGGAGTTCTTTAGTTCTCTTCTGGTTTGTGAGCCTATGGGATACACCTGGGACATGTTTTCAAGCTTCTCTCTGCAACCATGAGGGCTAGAAACTAACTTGAAAAAGCAAGCTGACATTCTCATGTAATAACCTGACTCCAGGAGCTGGGGCTTTAATGAGAATGCCAAATATCATAAAACTCATGATAAAATCATGTGCACGCACACACTCACACATACATACTTAACACACCCACACTGTCCCCTTGTCTGCTTTCCCAGCAAGGCTGGGAAGTTCCTCCTTGAAGGGAAATCTAGGACTTGTCTACATGGTGCTGCAGTCTGGTCTCCATGGGCGTGAGTTGTGGAGTACTTTGTGTTGTGCTCTTACTGTCCCACGCAGACCCTGCTGGCAGGAACTAAAGGGTACCAGGTGCACTTTATTGTTGTCCTTTTTGAAACAGGACTACAACTATATAAACTAGTTCACAATTTGTTTTTGCCAGCAGGGTCTACATGGAGTGGTGAGAGCACAACACGTTAGAGTGCTGTACAGTTCACATCCCATAATCCAGACAAGCCCCTCATCATTCTCATCCCCTGACATAGAGCCTCATATGGTAGGCGACAGACGCATTCAGAATAGTACCTCACTGCTCTCCAGCAGCTGCAAGGTATATGAATGAACTGCTTTTGTTAAACAGTATTGCTACCTGAGGAGATGAGGAAGAGGATGGGAAAGAGGAAAGGAGAGAGCGAGAGCAAGCAGTCAGTACCCAGACACCCTAATGTGGATGTAAGGGAGCCTGGACTCTGTGCTTTGTACGGGGCCTAGTCTGATGACTCCCTCTCCAATCAGCTGGCACGCCACACCTGCAAAGTCAGCCCCATCGCTCGCATGGCCTATATTTTGTGCCCTGAAGCACGGTGCCTGTCTCCTCTGCACCGTTGCCCTCTTCGGCAACATCAGCCAGTGTAACATTTTCTCTTCTCCCTTCCCAATCGAGTCGGCATCTGCGCTGCCTCTTTGCCACCTGGGGTTTTAAAGTCCAGTCAGATGTTTCCTCTTGGTTTTTTCTTTCCCAAAGTGTTTCCCGTTGTGGTCAGGAACTCTATTGTCTGTTAAGCGGGAAATATGTTGAAATCCTCCCACCTGGCTCAATGTGGAGTATTTCTAGGCAGGGTTTGTTCCAGCCTAAACAGTCACCAATCTGGATCACTGGAGAGTGCCCTGGCATTGCTGGCTTCACACCTGCTCTCCGTCTATCAAAACAATCACATAAAGGTGGTTGACTGACCCCCCTGACCTTAGCTTGCATCCTCTGGGTCACACCAACAAAACTCTGATGCTGAATGCCCACCTGTCACTGCTCCCCAGAATGGATGGCTCAGAAGATACTGAGTGTTGTACCTGATAGTATGCGATCGGTGCTCTCTACAGGCCTCAGAGCAAAATTATGGCCTGACTTACACCCTCTGCGATGTCACTGAGTTGCATGATATATAAGTCAGGGTGGGATGTGGCCCGAGAACTGTTTTCTTCCTAGGTCATTGCTTTGAGTCCAGGAACATTCAGTAGGGGGCCCATGGTGAAGGGCAATGATGGCTTCAGCCCACTTTCTAGAGGACAAGTTCCCCTGTTGCTAGAGACACCATTGAAACTGGCACTCGTTGGGTCTCCTTGGTGACAAGCTTAGCTGAGTGGCCAAAGGCTGAACAGGCATGAAGACTGAATTGCCCTCTCCCCTTAAGCAACAACCCTTGGACGAGGAGTCCTTGCGGCACCTTGGAGACTAACAAATTTATTTGACAAGGCACCTCTGATGGCATAGAGTGAGGAGCCGGTCCTGCTATCGCTCCCTGTGCTACCCCAAGTTCAAAGCCTTCTGTCACCAGGACTGTCAGACCTGCACTTTTCACCAGTGCTAAATGCACACCGAGACAAAGAATTCAAATGAAATCTTTTAAGTCAGTGTAGCTGGCTGGAATATCTCCCACAGCTCTCCTGGAGCCTGTGCCATCCTGGTGAACTCTAACCCTTGCCTTGCACCCCATAAATCTCAAGCTTTGGGTAGGAGAGTGCTCCTGCAGGCCAGCACAAAGTCATTCCTTAGCTCTCTCCAAACTGTCACCAATAATAATTTGCGTGCTTGTAGGAATAGCAGTCAGAGCTCAGACTGTTGGTCCATTCAGTCCAGTATGTCTGCCTTTGTCTGCCTAAGATATTTCCAGGGTAGCAGCACCATAGCCTAGGACCACTTGGATGGCATGCTCCATCCACCTGTGTTGTGGTTTCCAGGACTACTTATAGGGAACTGTAGAGCAAGTCCCTCCTGAGCCCAGGAAGTGATTGGTTTACATCCTGAAGAGTGCAATTTGATTATGGTAACATAGCCTTAACTTTCACAATTACAAAATAATAATGGTCACATGATTAACCAATCCTTTAAAAAAAAAAAGTTCCGTCCAAACCTCTGGCCGACTGAACTTCCCTGGAGTGACTTCCACAGACTGATGACACTGTAGGAAGGAGTATGTCTTTCATCTCCAGCAGGGGCACTGAAAGTGACAATCACAGTTGTTTTACATGCTCACCTCAAAGAAGCAACGGATTGAGATTGGGTGGGGGTAAGAAGCTGAGATTTCTTCCTGAGTTCAGATCATTTCACATCCATAAACCTTCCTTCCCTCTGGTCTTCAAAGTCATGGAAGTCATCTGATTTCACCAGAGCTTTCCATACTCTGTTCCTAGCAGCACGTAGGTAGCTCTGCCATGGGGTCTGGTCAAACACTCCATACAGAAATGTAGAGGTGAATATAGAAGAAGGGGACCTCTACATTAGGAGCACAGTAGGACCAAAACAGAGAGTATGTGCGTTCTTGGGGATAGAAACTAAGGTAGAAATATTGAATAGTTTTATTTTAGCCTTGCCACATTCTTGCCATTTATAAAACTTTTTTCTTGAGCAAAAGAACCCCCCCAAAAGTAAGTTTGATGATGATTTAAAAAAAACAAACAATCCTAATAGAGGGAATTTTGCAGTTCAGAATTGTGTTTGCTGTGAGTACGGTCAGAACAATGCATGAGCCTTTCCTCTGCTAACCATCCTTGTCAGAGCTCTGCAAATTGAACAGCTTTGGGCAATATGGTGAAGTGCATGTGAACAACTGTTCTTCCTCTCTCAGATGCATGCAGTTCTTTAACACCAAGGATAGGACTTGGCAAAGCGTTGATAGAGCAGACTGTGAAATCACACACATTTCTCACCACTGCCATCCATTTGGAGAAATCCTGCCTCTAGTGGGGCTTAAGGCATGCCATTCTGCAGTGCCACATGGCACATTGTAGTACCAGAGCAGCCAACAGTCCATTGGTTCCTTGCCAAATTGATGTGGTGCCGGGTGGCAGGTGCTAACACATACATGTGCCAGAAGGAAAGGAGCTAGGTATTCTACATGGAAGTAATGTGGTCTCAAGGTATATCTGCACTGCAATTAAACCCCACGGCTATCCCATGTCTACTGACTTGGGCTTGCAGGGCTCAGGCTGCAGGGCTATACAACTGCAATGTAAATGTCCTGGCTTGAGCTGGAGTCTGGGCTCTGGGACACAGACACACGCACACTGTTTAATTACAATGTAGACATACCCTGAAGGACTGAGCTTGTGGCTGAGAGCCAGGATCGCCTCTGTTCTAATCCAGACCTTGTGCATAGCCGTGGGCAAATGTCTGAAACCTATGTTTTCTAAAGCGGCCCCTAATTACAAGTACCTCCATTTTCTAGGTGGCCTGTCTGAGACACCCACCAGTTCTGTTGGGAGTTGTGGGCTGTCAGCACCTCTGAAATCAAGTCCAGGGAGTCTCAGAGGGAACCCAGAAACTGAGGCATCCAAAAGTAGAGGCCATCCTGCTCCAGTTTTCTCCATCGGTAGAGTGGGTTGATACCCCTCATCACAGTGTGCTGGAAAGATGTAGTTAATGTTGGCATAGTCCTTTGGAAGTACTCCACACTGTAAACACAGGTGCAGGAGGAGGATGGAAGGTGGGTTTGGAGAATAGGATTTTAATGTCCAGTGAGCATTTACTGCCCCAAATCCCATTTCAACACTTTGGTGCAAATTTTCAGGTCATCTGAAAACCAGATGAGAGAAGCTGCTCTAAGAGCTGAACTGGACTCTAGGCCAAGCATTATTTGACAGCAGAGAAGTTACAGGCGAGATAGCATTCAGAACTGCTAGCTACCCAGACACTAAGCCCCCTATTTATTTAACTAAAAAAGCCCCGGATGTGGCACTTCTCTGCAGAATTGATTTCTACTGAATTCCCCATGAAAGACACAGTGAGTTTGCAGTCTCTGGCCACCTGAGTGGGGGTTGGGGACAGCGCACGCAAAGAAGCGGTGAAGAGCTGTGGAAGTGGAGGCTGAACAGTCTGGTCTGCTGCATCTGTTCCATGGGAGAAGTGCATTCTTCACTCAGCCTGCATTGCTCGTGGCAATTAATCCTTTTGCTGCTGGTCTTTTGGGAACAGATAGTCCAGGGTACTTGGACCATTCAGCAGTATAGTAGGTGTGTTTGGCAAGAGGTATCCAGAATGCTTAGCAGCAGCCCTACTGTGACTGCTGTGTACTCAGAGGAGAATCCCTGCATTCTTTCACCACATACACATTAGAAATTCAGAAGACATTTTAATCTATCCCAGTTCAAATTCTCAAAGCCAAATTCTGACCTAGATATATTAAAAAAAGAATCTGTCTAATGCAAATATACTGGCCACCAGCTTGGCTCCATAGCTTAAGTCAAAGAGCAAGGCCCTGTAGTTGAGGGCTCAAACAGACTTAGATCCTTGGTGGATTGAGGGCCGGGGGTATATCATGCACTGACCAGCAACAAGGCAAATAACCATTTGAGACTTGGAATCAAGCCATGGATAAACATTCTCTTCTCCCACCAGATTGATGCTTTGTCCCTGGGAATGATGCATCAGTGGTAACGCCTCCTCTTTTCACACCAGCCCCCCTTTGCAAACAAACCCTTAAGAACTTAGGCTGAGAATGTCAAATCTGCCTAAGGGATTTGGACACCCATTCCCATTTTTTTAATGGGAAGTAGACACCTTAATTTTTTCTTGCTGGGTTTAAATAGCTGCTTGATTTTCTTATCAGGTTCCTGTGTGTTGGGTCCTGATTATGAATCTAAATGATCCCAGGGACCTCCATCTTTTTCTAAAGACATGTTTCCCACAGCTATATTGTGCAGTTTGCTTTCCTTTTCTCTAGTGCTGATGCTGCAGAGAAGAATGCTGTCTCAGAACTCCATTTTCAAGTAAAATGCACTAAGTGAGCATGAGACCTGAGTTCAAATGGTCCTGGGCATAGTTATAGCAGAAGTGTTCCCCACCCGCTGGGGTGGTACTTGTGCTTCAGGCTTTTGAGGCTGATTCTTCCTGGGTCCAGTGAAGCCAATGGAGACATAATTTGGTCTTGTCCCTGCCTTTAATGATGGTTCTCTGTGTTGGCTCTGTTGTGTGATATTCTATCCACAATGGAGTTTGCTCTGCTCCAAACCCCAATCAGGCAGGAGGTTGCACAGTTGAATGGGAAGTGCCAGGTGCTATGTGGAAGGGTCCTAGTTTGGTAAATAGGTACAGTTGCCCAAAATGTTGGGAACTGGCATTCGGCAGAAGGATACAGTGGAGAGCAATAACTAGGAGGAAAGGGCTGCAAAGGGAGTGTACCACTGCAGAGTGTCAGTGAAGACTGAGCTTATAGTGGGGCTAATTGTATCAGACATGAAGGGAGCTTTTTACACGTATGATTGGAGGAGTCTGTGATGTTCCCGCCCCCTCTTGGTTGTGCCAAACATTTTCTATGCACATTTACAGAAAGCCAGACACTTCTCCCCGGTGCCACAGTCTGCCTCATTGATGCTTTGCCAGGATTTTTGCCTTAGAGTGACATATGTTGGTGTGCTGAAATGGTGAGCATTAGGATAATGACCACCCCTCTTTCATTTCCAGATTCCCTGCCAGACAGACCAGTTGCTGATAAAGTAGGCGCTGTGTCTGCACAGGAAAAGCCAGCTCAGGATAGTGCTCAAAGTGAGAAGCCAGCAATGGATGAGAAGAGAAGAGCTGTCAGGAGTCCCCAGTATATGGCTGATGTCTCCGTGGATGATGTAGGCATTCCACTGAGGGTAAGAGAACAACACTCAGGCTTACAGGCACATGCTTAAAATAAAAATCAAGAGCCAGATTCTGCCTTCAATTAGACCCATATAATTAAAGCCAGTAGAATTGCATGAGTGTAACTGAAGGTAAAATATCACCCCAATAGATTTATTTCAAAAGTCTTCCTTGTGTTCCTGATGACCCCTTCAATTACTATGGGTGAAAGAATTTTCAAAATCTCATTGCACTTTTTGCTAGTTGTGTGGATTTAGTTTCCTCTCTTATTTTGCTTCATGTTGACATCTGAGTTAGGCTGGTCAGGTTCACTTCCCCTATCTAATGGAATAGTGCTGTGTTGCTGAGTTTGGGTTCAGAACACTGCAGTGGGATATGGAAGGGCTAAATTCCTTTGTAGAATCTAGTCCTAAATTTTCCTCAAATTATTTTCACTGAATTTAAAAAAAAAATCCTGAAAATGTTTATGCTGTTAGTAGGGACTTAGTCCTGGCATTTGAAACACACCCAATTCCACAAGCTGTCTGAATTATGTAGTTCAATCTTGCTTATAACTATTCAGTAATAATAAATAAAATATGATAAAGGGTGCACATAGCTTTTGATTGTTAAAGTAACCCTAACAAATTGAAAATTTGGTGGAAGTCAGGCCAATGTTTTTTACTTACAACTATATATTTTTAAACCAGAACACAGACAGATCAAAGGACTGGTACAAGACAATGTTCAAACAGATCCACAGGCTAACTAAAGGTACTGTAATTTGGATAATTTAATTTTTTTAAAGAGACTAACCGGATAACAGTTTGCTTCACATAGATGGAATATTGCACTGTATATTAAATAAAGCATTTTGCATTTGTAATCCATGTTTGCTCTGGAACATAGAAATCAGCTAACAAATTTAAAGACGATACTATCAAAGGAGAGAACCCAGTCAATTCCAAGGGGAGGTGTGAATTGCTCTTAAAGGTGAACTGAAAAACCTTTTATAAAAAGAAGAGAATTGTTTGTGATCCTGAATCATTAGCTGGGTGGTGGGTAGACAAAGGCTGCGTCTACACTAGTATATTTCAGGAAATCTCCCAGTATAACACAATGGTGGGGATTGCTTGCGTGAGAAGGGTTAAGGGGTCTTTTACTACCTGTTCATTTGATGCTGCTTAGATTTTGGCCCCAAGGAGCACATTTTTCAACTCTTTTCCCACTTGTCAAGGAAACGTCCCGGGGTGATTAGTCCAGAATTTCCAAATAATCATATTTGGAGAGAGAAATACATGTTTTAAAATGTTCCTGTCAGAGCCAGGATTCAGGTTGCTCTGTTCCCCTTGCTACAGTTAGAAAACATCACAAATGCCTTCCTGTCCTTATTTAGCAATGCCATCAACTGGTGCTGGGAAACAGGTCCCTAAACTTCAGTCTTAGCAAGTACAATGACACCGAGTTGGCTTTTAAACAAGGAGAGGCTGCCCTGTGAAAATATGGACAGTCTGCAAGAGAAAGGAATTGGTAATGTTACATTGCTTAATAACTTAGGGCCTGATCCAAAACCTATTACGTGAATGGAAAGACTCCCATTAATTTCAGTGGGATCTGGATCAGACTTCTGCTGTTTAATACTGTTGATATATTTAAAAGCCAAAACTATGGAGAGTACTTATATATTGGTTACAATATATCCTCCATTAATGCATTACTTTTTGGTACATTGTATGTTCCACGTCTCTTAGTAGTGTAAGAAATGAATGAGATGGTATTAGCAATCCAGCCATGCATAAGGCCTGATGTACATGACAACACAATTCTGAGCTGTGCTTACTAAATGAAACACAGTGGATATAAAATAATGCAAGTTGGTTTGCATTTGCTGCTGCAGATGCTATTTTGATGAGCTGACGAGTGAGTTTATATAACCACTGAACTGGACGGAATGAGAACTGCTCAAGCTGTGAGTCGTAACCCTTGTGCTGCTGACACAGATTGTCCTTCACCTCAGGTGATAGAGGCACATGCTTCAGGAGCAGAGGATGAGTTCAATCCCTGCTGTCTCCTGCTGTCTTCCAAGCAGCCCAGATGTGCACCGCAGTGATAACCACTGATGTGCCCATGGCTTTGTTACATTATAGACTCGGCATGAGAGGGATTGTTCCACAACTTCTGTGGATTCTTGCCTCACCTGGACTTCTCCTTTAAATCTTTCCTTTCTGTTCTTTTTCTAAAACTTGCTCCTTCCACTTAGAAACTCCTGAAGAAAACCCTTATTGCCCTACCTACAAATTCCCTGAACTTCCTGAAATCCAGCAAACACCCGAAGGTACCATAAGTTCAGCCAGAGTATCTGTTGTCTTGTGTTTGAGTTAACTGTACCGTAGCTCCATTATAGTAACTAGATTCAGGTACTAGATTATCATTATCCATTTATTACTCATGGTGGAAATTCGAGTACACCTAGTGTGCCTTAGTTTGTGATGTATAAAATGACTAAATCCTTCCTAACCCATTTATGTGTTTGAAAGTATGATACCATTTCAGTCTACTATTATCAAAATAGGCAATAAAAGTTTACAGTGGTAGAAAGTTGGGGAAATGATATGGTGCCTCCACTTCACTGTGGATAGTCTCAATACATACTGCTTTTCTCTGCTGCAGAAGACAATCCTTACTGTCCTACATACCAGTTTCCTGCGTCTACTCCTAGTCCTAAATCTGAAGGTAATAGTAAAGGACAAGATACCTTTTTCTGCACAAATGCTGCCTTGTCCATTTATTTTCTCCCTGGAGCTTCTCCTAGCCACTGAGTGTCATGCTGCCTCCTAATAGTTTGCTGTCTTTTGAGTGTTGCCGTGATGGTTTGAGGCCTATTTTGGCTTTGTGGTGCTCTTCTGGCTTTTTCACTAGCCTTTGACTAATGCTACAAAACTAGGCTCTGCTTTGTTTCATGTGCATAGTCAGCTATACCTAGCCATATGTGTGCAGTGGTTACTTAACATTCATACAATGCTGACTTACATCTCATCTTGATGATGTCTCTTGAAATATGGCTTTAAGTATGGTTTTGTTTTCCTTGGGAGCAATACATTTCTTTAATCTGCTCTTAAAGTTTTTAATAGTAACACAGGATAGTGCCTGGCTCAAAAGTCACTGAAGCCCTTTGACAAGATTCCCTAAAGTTTCCATGGTCTTTGGATCGGGCTGTTAGTGTCTATCTCTCTTTTTATTAAAGTACATTTTAGAATAAATGGGGTGTTGCACATGTTGGTTTGCTCAAGGCTGGCCTCAGGAGCTCAAGGACAGGATTTGGCATTCTTTACCGGGAAACCCATTGTATCCCCTAGCTATCCTTTTGTCCTGCTGGTGGGTGGTTGCTCAGGGGGTGGTTCAAGCGCTGCTCAGAACCCTTTGCACTCTCACTTTCCAAGGAACTGCTGCAGTAGCCAGTGCTGAAGAGACTGTCCTCTACATGTGAGAAGCATTGGCATCTGCTGCACTCAGCTGAACAGGAGCCAGGACAGGCTAGGTGGGCAGACATCTCCCACTGGGGGAAGTATGGTTTGGGACTGGCCTGTTTGGGAGTAATCAGTAGAGGTTTTCCAGAGCCCTTTACTGCTACAACGTAGGAAACTTGCCTACTTTGCCTGTGCCTGAAGCCCGCCCTGGTGAGACTATTAAATAATCTTTCCAGACCATTTTTATACAACACGTACGGTGAGTTGTGCATGGTCGAACATAAAATATGGATCCCTTATGTCAAAACAGGCTAGGAGATTTAGACTCACATCCCCTGTTAAAATGAATGGGGAACAGATACTTCGAGACATGGGGATAAGATACATGCCCACCTTTGGTGCTTTGAGATGTATGGATGAAAAGTGCTATCCTATACAAGTGCAATGTATTTGATGCCTTAATAGCAGAGATATTGTGTGAGAGAGAGACTATGATAAGCTGATGAATGATTGTTATAAAGATGATTCAATTTTCTTGTTTCAGGATCCATTTTACTTTTGTCAGAACTAATGTATTTTGCCACAAAGCACTGTCATTAATGCAGGAGGGCTTTGTATTCCCATAAATGTTTTCTGCTCATGCATAAATGCACAGATAAATAATATGCTCAGCTTTAGGTAGTCACAATATTATTAGACCAAACATTTGTCCTTTGTTGTTGCTACCATGCAAAGTATGTTTGGCTTTTGATATCTGCTTGGATTCTTTCTTTATTAGAGAATCCAAGATAGTGGCAATAATTGGGTCCATTCTGGCAGTTCTAGACTATTCAAAGTCTTTTGGAAGTTTTTCTAAATATGAAACAAAGGGTTTGAACAGAGATGGACTGAAGCCTCATAATTCAAATCCAGGTTTCAAACAATCCAAAGTTCAGGGTTTGGGTTTAGGCCATTATAGAGACAGAAGCCATTTACAGAATTCTGATCTGGGCTCTTATTTCAAACACCTGCAAAGTGTGGGAAGTTCAGCCCCAGAGTTTTGGTTTGGGCCCCACACACAACTACTACACTTCTTAAGGTGCAATACAAACTACAAGGAAAAGTCCTTGTCTTACAGAAGGAGTCTAATATTGAAGCGATGAACTGGTGATTCCTACCTCCCATAAGGAAGGCCCTATGGGTACGGTACAGGACTGGGAATCAAGAGCCCTGGTGTCTATTCCCAGTTCTGCCAGTGACTTACTGTATGATCTTTACCAAGTCAATCAGTCCTTCAGTATTCCCCATTGTCAAATGGGAATAAATATGCTTACTCATCTTTGCAAAACACTGAGATGCAAAGCGTTATATATATATTCCAGTTATTAAGGTATCAAGCAGAGTGCCCAAAGGATCAGTCCTGGGGCCGGTTTTGTTCAATATCTTCATTAACGATCTGGTGAATGGTGTGGATTGCACCCTCAGCGAGTTTGCAGATGACACGAAACTGGGAGGAGTGGTAGATAGGCTGGAGGGTAGAGATAGGATACAGAGGGACCTAGACAAATTAGAGGATTGGGCCAAAAGAAATCTGATGAGGTTCAACAAGGAAAAGAGCAGAGTCCTGCACTTAGGATGGAAGAATTCCATACACTACTACAGACTAGGGACAGAGTGGCTAGGCAGCAGTTCTGCAGAAAAGGACCAAGGGGTTACAGTGAACGAGAAGCTGGATATGAGTCAATAGTGTGCACTTGTTGCCAAGAAGGCCAACGGCATTTTGGGCTGCATAAGTAGGAGCATTGCCAGCAGATTGAGGGACGTGTTCGGCATTGGTGAGGCTTTATCTGGAGTACTGTGTCCAGTTTTGGGCCCCACACTACAAGAAGGATGTGGACAAATTGGAAAGAGTCCAGCGGAGGGCAACAAAAATGATTAGGGGACTGGAACACATGAGTTATGAGGAGAGGCTGAGGGAACTGGGATTGTTTAGTCTGCAGAAGAGAAGAATGAGAGGGGATTTGATAGCTGCTTTCAACTACCTGAAAGGAGGTTCCAAAGAGGATGGATCTAGACTGTTCTCAATGGTACAAGATGACAGAACAAGGAGTAATGGTCTCAAGTTGCAGTGGGGGAGGTTTAGGTTGGATATTAGGAAAAACTTTTTCACTAGGAGGGTGGTGAAGCACTGGAATGGGTTACCTAGGGAGGTGGTGGAATCTCCATCCTTAGAGGTTTTTAAGGTCAGGCTTGACAAAGCCCTGGCTGGGATGATTTAGTTGGGGAATGGTCCTACTTTGAGCAGGGGCTTGGACTAGATGACTTCCTGAGGTCTCTTCCAACACTAATATTCTATGATTCTGTGATTTTATGAATATTGAAACTGGAAAGATGCAGACCCAATTGGAAACTAGCACTTTCTTGAAATGCAGTGCTTCTATATGTTTTTATTGGCTGAATTATTAGCTGCAATAAATTTTGGCATTTTCCTTCAAATAAATAATTTGTAAAGAAGTGTTTTCATTATTCCACCAGCTTTAAATAACTTCCTTAGAGGCAGTTGGCTGAGAGGGTATTTTTAGACATTCATTCACCTGTGCTTTTAGGAACAGGCGATTTTATGATTTGCCATATATTGTACTCTCTAAAGAAAACCCATTGTTTAATATGGGAATAACCGTCACCTTTCCAGCAAACTGCATCCTTTTTCTGCCGTTTAGATTGAAATATGGAAATGATGCTGAAAACTGATGTTTGTCATTATGCCAGCTCAAGACTATCATAATTATAATGGAGTCACTAACCATCAGTTAGGAGCTAAACCTGCTGCTGTTCCAGTCAGAATGTAGCTTACCAAGACAATTCAGCAAAGGGGGGGAGAGAGCTAGAGAAAATTTGTTTGAGCTGAGCCTTTAACACACCCTTTTTGGTTCAATTAAAGGTGAAAATTCAAAGTCAGTTATTACGTTCTCCAACCCAATTGGTTCCTCAGGGTGAATGGCTCCAAGCGCCTCAAACGGGGAGGGCAAGGATTGGACCACGAGCAGGAACTACTCTCCAACCCCTTGCAATGGTGCCTACAGATCAGTGCTGAGGCACATAGGTGGGGCAGGGGTCGCATGAGAGTGCTTACATTGCCATTGCCAGGGCTGTACCTGGTCAATGGATTGTGTATTTCACTGTCCCAGGCTGTCAATCAACACCACTGAGTTCACTAGGCATTTGGTTTAACCTGGTGTTCTTCTGATGGCCTCATCCATTCTGTATTTCTAGTCACCGTCACGCTACCCTTAATCCTTGGCTGTTTTAGGTATTTCTTCTCAAGAACACCAATGTCCCTTTACCCACAGTTCTCTCTGCAGAATTCGCTGTAATACATTTTCCTATGCTGTATCTCTTAGGCTTGTCCACATCTCCAAGACAAATGCAAGACCTTGAATTTGGATCATCAGCATGAAAGGAAGGATGGTCTTGGGGTGATGGCCTTAAACTGGGACTCGGGCACTGTGGGTTCAGTTCCTGACACTGACTTCCTCTGAGACTATGGGCACCTCATCTAGGATTTGTCCCAAAGCCTGCTGAAGACAAGCACAGTCTCTAAGTGCCTCAAATCCCCATGTATAAAATGGGAATGATGAGACTTCTTTTATCCCACCCTTTTCTGTGCCTGGCCTATTGAGAGTGTACGCTGTTGGGAGCAGGGACTATTTTTTGCTACAAGAACATGCAGCACCTAGCATGGTCCCTGTTTGTTTTGTACAAAGCACATTGTTGGTGCTCGAGGAATAATTTGTGTGTGTTAATATATTTAAATTCACTATACTAGTTAATAGAGGCAGAGTGGTCCAGTGATTGGAGCATGTGACTGAGAGTCAAGAACTCCTGGATTCTATTTCCATCTCTGACTCTGATATTACCTTAGGCAGGTCACTTAAGGCTTCAGTACCCCAGTTTGTCTTTCAGCTTTTGGTAACATTGGTATAATAATACCTACCTCCTCACAGAGGTTTTGTGACACTAAATGAACAAATGGTTGTAAAGCACTTTGAGACCCTCGTAAAGAGGTGCTGAAGAAGTGGAAAGAATTTATATTCACAGTTCACCGAAAAACTATTTTCTAAGTGTGACTTTCACTGCTTAGAATCCTCTCTTTGTCATGGGTGTTTGGAACATTACTATGAGATTAAGGATAATGTGTGACCAAAAAAAAGCAGAGAGGCCTTGAAGCAACACTTTCATCTGACTTGCAAACTATTTTGTTTTGTTTTTCAGATGAAGATTCTGATTCTTACTCTCCTCATTATTCCTATTCTGAAGATAGTAAGTAACATTTCACGTGCAACTTTATGCACATGAATTAACAGTAAGCATCACTCGTCTTGGCCTCCTACAAAATTTACCAAGATTTTTATATATGCCTTTTTGCAGCAAGAACCCAGCCCTCAGTGCCCCGGTCCAAGAGTGAGATGGACAACATTGACCCTGACAAGGTTGTTAAGAGATCTGCTACTCTGCCACTTCCAACTCGTACTTCATCGCTGAAATCCAGCCCAGAAAGGTAACCTGAACTAAGGGAGAAACTCAAAAGTTCTCATTAGGAGGGGACTCAGATGCAAAGCTTGGACCCGGATTTGGAGCTGAACTTTCCCAGAGTCCAGGGCAGTTTGGATCTGGAGAATAGCAAGGGGTTGTGCTGTTCCTCTGATCGGTATTGAAACCCTAATGTGTTCCTTCATCATCCCAACCTACCCCCTCTGTTTGTCTGTCTCATTCATCTATCACCTCCATATCTTTTCATGTAGCTCAGGCCTGCTCTGGGGCAGGGACTGTTTCCCTTTGTACATGCCTGTACAATGTCTAGCACAGCAAGTCCTTATCCTTAATTGTGGTTCCTAGGCACTAAACCGTAATATAAATATTAACAAGTATCCAAAATGTCTCTAAACCTCTTGGGTCTACAGAACTGAGTTGGAAGTCTCCTGAAAAAAGGCCCTTCTAGAGCCAGTCTGGACTTGGAAATCCAGAGACACGTGAAAATGAAAGTAAAGGGCAGTATGGTCTAGCAGACAGGACTTGGAATGCTGGACCTGCTTTCTATTCCTGGCTCTGCTGTGGGACCTTAGGCAAGTCCCTTCAACTCTTGTGCCTGTTTCCTCTCCAGTCCTTCATGTGTCTTGTCTAAATTGTAAGCTCTCTGGGTCAAGGACTATCTCTTACTATTTATTTATACAGCACCTAGCACCTTGGGGCCCCTGAATCCCTGTTTGAAATGCACATCATCATCATTGTGGGAAGCATGGGTTTGGATTTATTTCAGGGCTTGGCAAAGTTTGTTTGGGAAATGGGTCTTGCTGACTCTCAATCAGCTAATCAGCCCTGGAAACCCAGTTCAACACACTGCAAAGTCAATGGGATTTTCAGGTCCTAGTTAGCATCAGATACTGTTTTCACTCCTGCTTTTTAACCATGCTTGTAGAAGCTCATTGTAATAATAACAAATGCATTTACTGAACAGAGGGTGAGGAGAAAGCAAAATAGGCTATGAATATTTTATGCAATGATTAATTCAACCAGCTTTTAAAACCCTCTGCTCCCACTTCCTCTCAGTGGTTCACACTGGCTTCAAATGAGCAGTTCCATAGTCTGTTTGCTAACATAGAAAGCACCTAAGGCCACATGACTAGAAGATGATGATCTCTGATAGATATGATCCTCCCAGCATAGCAATTAAAGGGGAAGTACTGTAGCTTCCTGGTAAAACTCTTGTGAATCAAAAGATTAGACTAATTAGTGCTTTACATTATCAGGTAACAAAACCAGCAGGACTCAGCTGGGGAGAATATTTCCTAGGGTTGGAAGTGCTAAAACAATCAGGTCTGTTCTACACTGTGGAAATTAGACTGGTTGAAGCCCCTAGAATATTTATAAACCACTCTACAAATGGTCTAATAACTGGCCAGAACAAGCAACCTTTCACCAGCAGGTTTAGTTCTGGTTAATGCTTAACCAGTCCAGTGTGAACCACGAGAGTACCAGTAGTGATACACACAAACTGAAATGGTTCAATTTAGCCCTCTCTTTACTGTCTCACAGCACACTGGTGGCCTTGCAAAACCTGCCAGAGTGCACTACTTCTGGGAATTGTAGGATAGGTTCCCAGAGTGCATTGCAACTGAGATGGTCTGGACAGTGCTAGTGTGGATGGTGCACAGAACTTAAACCATTTCAGGTGGCTAGTGTTGTCTGAACCATTTGTACTTACAAGCCAGTTCAGTACAACCACATCAGATCTCTAGTACAGATGAGCCCTTAGAACCGCCCAGCAGAAGAAAGATGGGCCCACACCACAGACTTCAGCCCCAGTTCCACCCTTTCCCAACATTCAGGCAGAGTGTGGAGGGATGTTCTAGTCTCAGAGGGTGACTTAAGAGTTCGAGCCTAGATTCAGTTCAAAGTCGGGGGGGGTGTTGGAATTCTGCAGGACTATCTCTAAGGTACTTTCAGTAAGGAAAGAAGCGTGAGTTTGGCAATTCATGGAAAAGAATTGCCAGAAACCTTTACTGTCCTTTCAAGTGATTTTTAGCAGCGGATACATGTACACAGATTTAATTCTGGCTGCTATTAAAAAACAAACCCAAACCCATCTGACCTGTTCCTGTTGCCGCAAGTTTCCTGCTTTAGGCTATGTCTACACTACGCAGCTTTTAGCGACACAGCTGTGCCACTAAAAGGCATGCAGTGTAGCTGCTGTTTGTCAGCAGGAGAGAGCTCTCCTGTCGACAAAAAACTTCCACCCCCAATGAGCGGCGGTAGCTTTGTCGGCAGTTCACACAGGCGCTTTTTGTCGACAAAACTTTTCTCTCTTATGGGGAGGAGGGTTTAACACCTCTGAATGACAAAACTTTTGTCATTCAGTTGCCAGTGTAGACAAAGCCATAGATTAAAAAATTCCCTGATTAAATCCAGATTAACTGGGGAAGGAGCTTGTCCAAAGAATACACTCATTTTCATGGCAATGGCAGAGTTCTGGGCTAATTAGCTTCTCTTTCCTCAGGAATGATTGGGAACCCCCAGACAAGAAGGTGGATACCAGAAAATACCGGGCAGAGCCAAAGAGCATTTACGACTACCGGCCAGGAAAGTCCTCTGTTTTGGACAATGAAAAGATGGTAATGTTCCTTTTATCCTGCTCCATGACTTTGGCCTATGTTTACAGTATGCTCCACAAGTGCTTGTATATTTCCATTCAGATAAGTTTCCTTACACTTATATCGCCTACGTTATGACATTCCCATATATTTTGTTTTGCAAATGTTTGAGTAACTTCTTAACATTGTCATTCCACTAAAGGCAGATCCTGGGGAGCTGAGAGGGGCCTTTCCTTGTGGATGTGTTGTTTTCTGTGTTAAGTATAAAGAAAAGGAGTACTTGTGGCACCTTAGAGACTAACAAATTTATTTGAGCATAAGCTTTCATGAGCTACAGAATACAGACTAACACGGCTGCTACTCTGAAACCTGTGTTAAGTATGGCTCACTAACCCTAGTTTGTAATCTGTGTTTGACTCCATGGCTTGTCTCTGGTTTTAAAGATGTGCTTATTTCTAATGCACAGCAATAGTTTATTCCATAGCGTTTGAGGCAGCAGGCTGACTAGTGTTCAAAGTTTGTTTTGTTCTCAGGTCAGCAGCTTTAAAGAAGTTAACAGTAAATTTCATACTGTGTTAGTGTAATCAAGGAAGTTCCAAAAAAATATGGAGGTGTTTTTTATTAAGTGAATATTTTGGTACCTAAAGTTGTGATTGTTCTTTGAGGAGTATTTGTTTGAAAGCACAGTTTAAAGTGCTGATTGTTTGTGAGACTCACAGTATAAGTCTGGGGCCATGTTTTCATTAACGCTTTGGAGCAGGATTGAGGAGCTGTACAGAGCGAACAGTCACTTTTACTTTAAGATACAGTTGTGACAGGCAATTTAAAAGCAACAGAAGTATGTGGCTAAACTGCTGAATAATATGTTTCAGAGTCTGACTCAGAGTTTTTCCCTGTTCAATATTTGCTTTCAAGTAACATAAGGCCCATTATTTTATCCTGGGACTAATTCTCCTTTCACACCAGTGTAACACCATTAATTTCAATTTCTTGGTCCAGGCCCAATCCAATGCCTGTTGAAATCAGTGATATCCTTGCCTTGACTCCCAGTGGGCATTGGATGCAGTACACTGATGTAAGTGAGAGGCAAATCAGGCCCCTAGTTTGCGTATAATAGGAAGGGTCATTCCTACTGTTCTGGCTGGAGCAAGATTTGAACAGGAATTTTGCCTAAGGACTACAGGCTTAGGCTCTGTGATTTAAAGCCTGATTCATCAAAGCACTTAAGCCCATGCTCAATTCCCACTCCAGTCAGTGGGACTGTTCACACGCTTAAAATTAAGCCTGTGCTTAAAACGTTACTGAATCAGAGTCTAAAATCCAGAAGAGGGACAATCACCAAAGCAGCTGGAAAGACTCCTGCACAGTTAAGTAAAGAGTAAGGTGAGTTTTGAGAATGACACTCTTGACCATTTTTCTTTTTTTACCAGCTGTCATTTCAAACCAAAGATCACAGAGGACAGGTGCTGAAATATAAAATGGGACTGAAGTGCCTGTTGTTTGATTGTGCTCTGTGTCAGAATCCTTTTTCCCTAGCGTGTCTAAATATGATAGTGATATGTAGACCTTGTTTTGTTTTTGTTGAGGGAAACCTAAAAACCAGTAGAAGGGTTATGTGAAGATAATTTGCAGTCTATTAATAGGTTGCAATTGCTATGCCATATTCAAAGCAGTAGCTATTAGGGGCCTGATCCAAAGCTCTTGCCATCAATGCAAAGATTCCCATTGATTTCAATGGCCTTTAGATCAGTTCCACTGTAAATTTTACTATGCGACAAGCTCAAAGCTTTTTGGGAGTCAATATATAATGTATAGAAACAGAGGCATTGCATCTGTTTGGACTGCAGTTAATGGCAGTACCTTTCTCCAATCCCTTGTGGTTTAACTAGGCTTACTCTAGACCCTTGGGAATTAACCTCTTTTTGTGGTGACTTCACCAGGTGACACAAAAAGTTTAACCATTTAACTTTCAGATACAAGTGTTTCCCCATCTCCCTCCCCCCATGGGGTCAGATACCCCCATGGGGGGGGGGTTGTTTTGGGTAGCAGCCAGCTTAGGACAGGAGATAATAAAATTGGAAGCATAAGAAGATCAAGCACAAAGGGTTGGCACTAAACTGCAAAGAATTGCTTGGTTTTGGCTATTGTGATTGGCACAGAGGGCTGAGGGCCAGGCATTTCTTAGTTCTGGCCCTAGCCCTGGCAGAACTCTCTCCTTAGCCATATCCCGTTAGGATAAATCAGGTTCTCTACTTTCTGAGGTTTTCTCCGCCAGGACCCAGATTGTGGAAGTGCATCTGACAATCACCGCCTTCTGTGAAAAGAGCCCTGGGCAGAGCCATCCAGTGGTCTTGAGAACAGCACTAGGAGCTAGAAACTCCTGGGTTTTAAATCCATCTCTGACACACCATTCTTTTGTGGTCTTGGGCAAGTCACTTCATGACTCTTCCTCACTTTTCCCACCCCTGTAAACTGGGGGTGATAATACTTACTCACCTACTGTACACCACAGAGGTGCTGTAATAGATAAAGGGTCAAAGTCAGCCTTGGCATACATGTCCACAACTCCTGACTGACTCACTTCAGCGGAAGCTGGATCCACTTATTCAAGGGCTGATTTGGTTAATTGATTTTTAAAGTCCTTTCAAGATGTCTACAGGAGAAATTTGTCTAAGTGCTCAGTATTACAGTGGGCAAAAATTATTTGCACCTCATTTCACTGAGTTACTGTACAAACAACTTAATTTTAGGGGAGGATTCTGGACTGCACCTCAGTAGACACACTGCACAGAAAGTATAGCCCAGGAGGAGAGAGGGACCAGGGTGGCTTTATGCCAACTTTTTGCCTTTCAGATTTTTGGCTGCTGAGGGAGCTGAAATGGCCACTAGTATAAGCAGCCTTGGGGCTGCTCTAACTTATGGAAGCCTCCCCGGTGTTGCCTACAGGATGCGCAGCAGTCCAGAGTCACTTGTAGTGTTCAGTGCCATGGAAAAACTCCCTCCTGCAGTCTGACTCTGACACATCTGCACTAGCACTATCGGGCGGAGTGGACAGCACTGGGCTACTTATATTGACTCCTGTGCATGGCCCCTATACACCACAACAGTAGCATATAGAGCAGGGGTGGGCAAACTACGGCCTGTGAGCAATTTTAAGCCAGCCTGCGAGCCGTACCACGTGGCTTGGACCCGCTGCAGCGCTCCGGCTGGGGCGCTGCGTTGGAGCTGCACCATCTGCTCAGCCCTGGTCCGGCCGGGGCACTGGATCAGAGGCCGCACCACGCGGCTCGGCCCCACTCCAGCGCTCCTGCCAGGCCACAGGGTCGGGGCCACACCACGTGGCTCCCAGAAGCCGCAGCATGGCCCTGCTCCGGCTCCTATGCACTACAATGGGAGCTGCAGGGGTGGTGCCTGCAGATGGGGCAGTGTGCAGAGTCGCCTGACCGCGCCTCTGCGTATGAGCTGGAGAAGGGACATGCCACTTCTTCCGGGAACCGCTTGAGGTAAGCGCTGCTTGGAGCCTGCACCCCTTGAGCCTCTCCACATGCCTCAACCCCTTACCCCAGCCCTGATCCCCTTCCCGCTCTCCAAACCCCACGATCCCAGCTCAGAGCACCCTCCTGCACCCCAAACCTCTCATCCCCAGCCCCACCCCAGAGCCCACACCCCAACCCCAATTTTGTGAGCATTCATGGCCCGCCATACAATTTCTATTCCCTGATGTGGCCCTCGGGCCAAAAAGTTTGCCCACCCCTGATATACAGGCTGAGGTGGGGGCCTTTCATGTCTTGCTGCAATGACTATAAATTTATAATACACTTAGAGCCACTTAAATTAAAGGCTAGATCCATTTAAATCAAATTTAACCAGATCTATCTTCGTAACCTAGAGCACTGGATTTGTTCTCTCACATCACCAAAAATATGGTTACACAACTTTAAGTTGTTTTGTTAAAATAGATTTTAGGCATGAAAGGGAGCTTTCTTTTCAGCTGTGCTGTTACCTGTCCTGTCTGGTTTTTCCTTCATTCTAGTTTTGCCTGATTCTCTAACATTTATTTGTGAATAAGCGAAGTATATTGTCTTCCTATTCATCCCCTTTGAGATCTTTCAGAAGTGTGCTCTCTCTAATTGTGTCCTCCTTGATTTAGAATGCCACCTCTCACTCTGTTTGCTGTGTATGGACCACAGTTTCTCACATATCCATGTGCTGTTAAAGATGCAGTATGTTTAATGCTCTGGGGCTCAACAATAGATAATTTGCTTTTTTTTTTTTTTTTCAAATGAAAATTCAAAAAAAATTATAGGCTTAACCTTGAACCTGAGAGAGTTTTTAACAGTAGGAGCAAGGGATTGCAAATTAGGAGTCCTGAGGTGCTTTCCTAGCTCTTCCACTGACTTATCTTGAGCAAATCACTTAACCGCTATCTGCCTCAGTTTCTCCATCTAAAAATTGAACTAGTTCTCTCCCAGGGGTGCTCTAAGGTTTAATTAATGATTGTAAAACATTCAGAGATCCTTGAATGGAAGGTATTGTAGAAGTACTAAATTATTAGGCTAACTAGCCACATTATTCAATTGAAAACATTGAGACTGCATCTCTAACAGTCCCTTTCCTATGTATTCTTTGCATAATGTTATCCTTCTCTTTCTTTCATTCCCTTATCACCAACTCCTTTAGACTCGGGATATAAGTCCAGAAGAGATAGATTTAAAGAATGAACCTTGGTATAAATTCTTTTCGGAATTGGAGTTTGGGAAACCGGTAAGTTTGCTAGCTGCAATGATTAATAAAGTCAACCTGCATTTTGTAATGATGCTGTTGCAACTCTACTCTAGTTCCTAGATACTCAATGAGACAGCACTTCCAGATTCATAGAATCATAGAATATCAGGGTTGGAAGGGACCTCAGGAGGTCAGCTAGTCCAACCCCCTGCTCAAAGCAGGACCAATCCCCAACTAAATCATCCCAGCCAGGGCTTTGTCAAGCCTGACCTTAAAAACTTCTAAGGAAGGAGATTCCACCACCTCCCTAGGTAATGCATTCCAGTGTTTCACCACCCTCCTAGTGAAAAAGTTTTTCCTAATATCCAACCTAAACCTCCCCCACTGCAACTTGAGACCATTACTCCTCGTTCTGTCATCTGCTACCACTGAGAACAGTCTAGATCTATCCTCTTTGGAACCCCCTTTCAGGTAGTTGAAAGCAGCTATCAAATCCCCCCTCATTCTTCTCTTCCGCAGACTAAACAATCCCAGTTCCCTCAGCCTTTCCTCATTAATCACGTGTTCCAGTCCCCTAATCATTTTTGTTGCCCTCTGCTGGACGTTTTCCAATTTTTCTACATCCTTCTTGTAGGTTGGGGCCCAAAACCAAACACAGTACTCCAGATGGCGAATAGAGGGGAACGATCACATCCCTCGATGTGCTGGCAATGCCCCTACTTATACAGCCCAAAATGCCATTGGCCTTCTTGGCAACAAGTGCACACTATTGACTCATATCCAGCTTCTCGTCCACTGTAACCCCTAGGTCCTTTTCTGCAGAACTGCTGCCTAGCCACTCAATCCCTAGTCTGTAGCAGTGCGTGGGATTCTTCCGTCCTAAGTGCAGGAGTCTGCACTTGTCTTTGTTGAACCTCATCAGATTTCTTTTGGCCCAATCCTCTAATTTGTCTAGGTCCCTCTGTATCCTATCCCTACCCTCCAGCATACGCTACCTCTCCTCCCAGTTTGGTGTCATCTGCAAACTTGCTGAGGGTGCAATCCACGCCATCCTCCAGATCATTAATGAAACATGACAGTTCATAACTGAGCCTTGGCACTGACATATAATAGTAGTTCGGTGACCATTTAAAACATTTTAAAGACATAATATTTGACCTTCAGCTTCACAGGAAAATATGCCAACTAGTGAGTCAATATCACTTTCATGTGTCAGAGTTCAGCTTGAGGTTTTACTTTTAAAGGTAGCAATGATTGTTCTCATTCATTTAGTGTCCCCTTTTCCATACTCGCATTCCCTTCTCCTCTCACAAGATCTGGATGGCTGCTACTTAACCTATTACATAATTTTAAGTCAATGAGAGTCACTCTCATATTATAGCCCTGGGTCCTTCATCTGTGGTCAAAAAGTACCAGCTGTCTATAAACTGATCTTGACCCTGTTCCCTCCTCTTTGCCTTCTTCATGCAACCTGTTCTCTGCCAAATATGTTGCAGTGGTTTGCATCAAGGATCCCAGGGTTATTCCCAGAAACAATTCCCTCCAAAAAGTCTAATCAAGAGAATCACATATTTTTATTTCCAGTCCATCTGCATAGCCTGCATTTCACAGCTATAAGAATGATTAAATGGATCCTAATTATCCAATAAGGAATAGAGGGGAATAATCACTTCCCTTGATCTGCCGGCAATGCTCCTACTAATATAGCCCAATATGCTGTTGGCCTTCTTGGCAACAAGGGCACACTGCTGACTCATACCCAGCTTCTTATCCACTGTAATCCCCAGGTCCCTTTCTGCAGAATTGATGCTAAGACAGTCGGTCCCCAGTCTGTAGCGGTGCATGGGATTCTTCCTTCCTAAGTGCAGGACTCTGCACTTGTCCTTGTTGAACCTCATCAGATTTCTTTTGGCCCAATCCTCCAATTTGTCTAGTCACTCTGGACCCTATCCCTATCCTCCAGCATATCTACCTCTCCCCACAGTTTAGTGTCATCTGCGAATTTGCTGAGCATGCAATTAATCCCATCATCAAGATCATTGATAAAGAAGTTGAACAAAACTGGCCCCAGGACTGACCCTTTGGGCATTCTTCTTGATACCGGCTGCCAACTAGACATCGAGCCATTGATCACTACCCGTTGAGCTGGACAATCTAACCAGCTTTCTATCCACCTTATAGTCCATTCATCCAATCCATATTTCTTTAACTTGCTGGCAAGAATACTGTGGGAGACCGTATCAAAAGCTTTGCTAAAGTCAAGAGATATCACATCCACCGCTTTTCCCATATTCACAGAGCCAGTTATCTCATCATAGAAGGCAATCAGGTTGGTCAGGCATGACTTGCCCGTGGTGAATCCATGTTGACTGTTCCTGGTGACCTTCCTCTCCTCCATAGGCTTCAAAATGGATTCCTTGAGGTCCTGCTCCATGATTTTGCCCGGGACTGAAGTGAGGCTGACCGGTCTATAGTTCCCCAGGTTCTCTTTCTTCTCTTTTTTAAAGATGGGCACTATATTTGCCTTTTTCCAATCATCCAGGACCTCCCCCGATCACCATGAATCTTCAAAGATAATGGCCAGTGGCTCTGCAATCACATCAGCCAACTCCCTCAGCACCCTTGTGTGCATTAGATCTGGACCCATGGACTTGTGCTTGTCTAGCTTTTCTAAATAGTCCTTAACCTGTTCTTTCACCACTGAGGGCTGGTCACCTCCTCCCCATACTGTGTTGCCCAGTGCAGCAACTCCAGTTGTCTTGGGTCTTCCTGATTGCACCCCTGCATGCTCGAGCAATATTTTTATACTCCTCCCTAGTCATCTGTACAAATTTCCACTTCTTGTAAGCTTCCTTTTTGAGTTTAAGCTCACCGAAGATTTCACTGTTAAGCCAAGCTGGTCGCCTGCCATATTTGCTATTCTTTCTGCACATCAGGCTGGTTTGTTCCTGCGCCCTCAATAAGGCTTCTTTAAAATACAGCCAGCTCTCCTGGACTCCTTTCCCCCTTATGTTAGCTTTCCAGGGGATCCTGCCCATCAGCTCCCTGAGGGAGTCAAAGTCTGCTTTTCTGAAGTCCAGGGTCCATATTTTGCTACTCTCCTTTCTTCCTTTTGTCAGGATCCTGAACTCAACCATCTCATGGTCACTGCTGCCCAGGTTGCCACCTTGCTTGCCACAAGGCTGTGAGGAGCCTGTCTCTGCCTACAGATGTTGGTAGCAGACCCTTGGCTATACAAACAATATGGCCTTTAGGGCAGGGGTGAGGAACCTTTTTTCTATCAGGTGTTGTAGGCCACACACAGCCCCGCAGGGATGGGGGTGGAGGCTCGGGGCTTCCCTCTGCAGCGGGGTGAGCTAGTGCTCACAGCTCCGAGGCTCAGGACTTCCCCTACGCTCCAGGGTGGGGCCAGAAATGAAGGGTTTAGGGTGCAGGAGGGGGTAAGGGCTCTGGCTCAGGGGTCGGGCTCTCGGATGGGGCTGGGGAAGAGGGGTTTGGGGTGCAGGAGGGGGCTCAGGGGTGGGGCATGGGGTTGGGGTGCGGGAGGAGATTCGGGGTGCAGGCTCTGGGAGGGTGTTAGGGTGTGGGAGGGGGTTCCAACCTGGGGCAGAGGGGTTGCAGTGCAGACTCCGGATGGGCGGCCCTTACCTCAGGCAACTCGCAGTCAGTGGTACAGCGGGGCTAAGGCACCCTGGCTCTATGCTGCTCCTGGAAGTGGATGGCATGTCCGGACCCTAGGCAGAGCAGCCAGGGGACTGCGCAATGCACGCTGCCCGTACCTGCAGGCGCCGCCCCCCACAGCTCCCATTGGCTGTGGTTCCCGGCCAATGGGAGCTTTTGAGCCAGCACTGGGGTACTGCATATTTGTCCTCTCTTCAGTCACATTCCTTAAAATTGACTTAAATCAAAGGTTAACATCTAAAAAAAAACAGTGATGTTAGACCTTGCTCAAAGCAGCAGAAATGAGAGGGGATGTTTCTTCAACATTCATATTTGTGTCCTTAGTCATGCAGCCATGTCCTCTCCACCTGTCCAGCCTCCGAGAGGGGATTCCCAGACTAGAATAGTGTTCCAAGCAGAAACATGTGGTGTTCTTCGAGTGCTTGTTCAAGTCCATTCCATGTCATGTCGTGTCAGCACATGGTATCCATGGGGCTGGCCCTATTGCCCCCTGGAGGCCTGCACTCATATGCCAGTATAAGGGGTGCCGCTGGCTCTTCGCCATCTCGGTTCCTTCTTACCGCCCGTGGTGGTTGCTGGAACAGTGTTCTCTTGCTTTGGCAAGCCTTCTCCAGTGGTTTACTGAACTCTTCGTTGTAGTTAGTAAGTGTTAGTTTGTTGGTCCCCTTAAGGAATGTTGTTCCTGGAACGGAGCATGCCCCAGTCCCCAGGCTTCAAACCATGTGCTGCCTGTGCTAAGCCCATGCCAGAGAGCTGTTCCCCCTCCAGCTGTCTAAAGTCCCTGGGGGAGGCTCACTTCATAGATACGTGCAGAATCTGCTGGGGCTTCAGGCTGCACACTATCAGGAAAGGGACATCAGTTTGAAAGCCCTGCTGATGGAAGCTGCGCTTAGACTGGTCTCCAAGGTGAGTCGGTCGGACTCGGCACCAAGCACATTTGCCTCAGTGCGTAGTGCTCCTCTGGCACGGTGTGCCCCTCGACACCGTTCAACATCCCCACCGCAGAGGACGCAGCACAAGAAGTGCACAGAGAGAGGGTGCTTTCTGGTGTCCAAGGGGGACCAGAGAGACTTGGGGAGTGAGGTGCGACCTGCACTGGGCCACTTGCCATCCTGGCAGAGGTGCACAACACCATCCGCAACATCCAGCCCTCTAACCTTTGATCCACCTCAAATGCCCTTACATGAGATGAACTATCATGGAATCATAGAATCATAGAAAATTAGGGTTGGAAGGGACCTCAGGAGATCATCTAGTCCAACCCGCTGCTCAAAGCAGGACCAACCCCAACTAAATCAGCCCAGCCAGGGCTTTGTCAAGTCAGGCCTTAAAAACCTCTAAGGATGAAGATTCCACCA